TCAACCAGCTCCTCTGTTATCTTGAGTGACGTCTGGTATTCCTTCTCCGCGATCTCTACTGGATTAACAATACCAAGCCCCCCTAATCTTACAGGTAGCGCAAACATTCTCCTGTGCAGATCAGACACATTCCTACCAATAATTGCAGGGATGAACTTTTCTCTTATACACTTCTCCAATGGGATAAAGAGGTCTTTAGTGTCTTGGATGGTACGCATCACAAAGGTCCACCGATGACATAGGGCTTTGGTATACCCTGATAGGGCTGCCTGAGGTTCATCGAGGGCAATATCTGACAACTCTTCTACATCCTTCACCCATTTCTCTACTTTCTTTTTTACATATGTCTCTCTAGCCTCCTCTCCACCTATCACTGCTCCCAGATGACGCTCCCCATCACATGTGATCTCTATACCAGTCTCTCCAAATAAAAACGTGGCTGCTGGTAGTAGCGATTTTTCTTTTAGGATAAGAATAGTCTTCACTGCTTTAGGGAAGTAGCCTAACTTAGGACCGTTCACACTGAGTAAATCCCACCACAGCCGGAGTTTCTTCAGGGTACCTGCTGCTGCAGAGTCATCTGCATACCACGCTTGCATCAATTCTCCTAATTTTGTCACGCTGGCCAGGATGTTGATAAGAGGACGAATACCGATAGCATACTCTGCCATTGCTGCCACATCCCCTTGCGTTGCCCCTTCATCAGAGTAAATTATCTCACACGAATATGTGTCGTTGACAATGAGTTTGGCTGATTTCTGATATGTGTTTTTCAGGTATTGGTGAAACGGAGGACATAGCTGCCTGATGTTGTGAATAGCTGCTTTGCGATTAAGCCTGTTAAACGCATTATCAGCATCAACAAGAAGCACTGCCTCTGTCTTAGGATCTTCCCATGTCCTCTTAACTGCTCTGATGGATGCCTCAATGCCTGACTCTAGCCCAGCACATGACTGAAGAGGTCCTGCAGCCTCTTGTATATCATCCTTAATTACCCCAATAACCACCTTGCCAACAATACGCCGAAGAACCTCTCCTACCCCCACCGGCCGTACACCAGGATTACCTCTCTTATCGTCACCCTTATTCAGTGGTACCAGTCTACAGGCCACAAACTCATTCAGACTCTCTGGGTTAACATCCTCTACACACAAACGCTTTGCAAATTCAGCTATTGCACCGCAGAGTTGAAAAGGAAGTTTCCCATACGCTTTAGAGCACAAGATGTGCTTCCACCCATCTGCATCCAAATGGGTTGGGCCACCTGAGCCCTTAACATGAAGTGCCGCTTTCTCAACTAGCTCTGCCGATATTTCAGCAAATATCACCGACTGTGCCTGAGGCGCTGTTATAGGTAGAAGGATATCAGCTGGAGGTGTCTCAGCTTTAGGATGTTTCTCTTGTAATAGACTCTTTATCTTTCTATTTAATATGTGTACCCCAACAACTGAGTCTTCGTTGTTGATGAGCTTCATGGCCTGACATACTTTACCCACCATCATTAACCTACTAAAGCCTTTCATTTTCGATGGATCTTCAGACTTTTTCCTTCGTTTTAGCTTCTCCTGGATGACACGAGCTTCATCCATGAGGGAATTGAGGTCGCCATCCTTCCACTTTTCTAGTCTATCTACCAGGTACTTGGCATTGTCTCTAGCTTTTGACTTAGATGAAGGCTTCTGTAACATAATAGGGATAAATATATGGACTAGCTGCAATGAAAGACTCTCCCAGGCCGTTTTATTCACAAAAAGGTACAAAAGTCGTGTCAACTCTTTGATAAACTTCTCCCCACTCTTACCCCTTGGCACCATAAACAAATTCCTACACCACGTAATAATTTCATTATATATCCCCGTAAGTTCTGACCGTATACACCCTTCCCCAACCATGGCACCCCACGTCAAATTATTAGATCTATTCAACTGGCAGCAGTCACAATACCATTCATCATCTTCACTGGTTTTATGATCCTCATACTCTTCATCACTCATACACAAGCATGCCTTATGAATCCAAACCTCGCACTCCTCACACTGCAAAGCATCTACATGCCATTCAACTCTGGTTTTACATATAGGACATATGTCATCTATCTTCTCCTTCTCATTTGGTCTACATTTTTTCTTCTTATCAACTCTTGTTTTATGATTGATGTTTACTTCTAGGACTTGAGGTCTATTTAACAAGGGTTTCTCTGTTCTGATGTGGCGCCGAAAGTCATATCTCGAAGAAGATGATTGAGGTTTGATAGAATTGGTTGAGTTTAGTACTTTCTGATTATTAGGATTTGGGAAGGCCATATTGGGCAACATAGGTTCATTGGACATAGGTTCATTAGTACTTTCTTCTTCAGCTTGTCCGTTGGTCTCTACATGTTCTGTACTGGCTGGGGCACTATCAGTGTGCCCCGTTTGCCCGTCCTTGTTTGCCATCCCTGAACTCAAATTATTTGTTATATAGTAGTGTTGAAAGTATTAAAACTCTTTATAAAATCAACCCTTAAAGAATTCAAAAAATTCCCTTAACAATCAAAAATTACCCTTGGCCTTGTGGCTCCAAGTTAAGATCTAGACTGTTTATATCAACAATGTTTTTTCTTGCACCTCTGTCTCCACGGAGAGAAATCACTGTTGTTCTAAGGATTGTTCTTGCTATAAATGGCTACAGCTAACACTATTAATGCTAAGTACCAAACAACAAGTGGGAGGTGGATCGTTGGTATACCGTTAAATCGATTTAACACCGCAATTCCAGTCGCAAGCCTGGGACCACTACTAGCATTGTCACAACATCTACAAAGCTGCCATATAGCCTGACTGACAATTTTCTCGACTGACTGACAATGTTTCTTCTTTTTCCCCATTTAGAATACAAAGATTAGTACATTTTAGCTTATGATAAATATTATATTTTTACCTATAGTTTACCTAGATATGAACTCTTTCTTATATAGTACAGACCGTAATGAGTGCACGCTTTGCTTGCACGAAAGAAATGTATATCGTGTATTTGTTGTTTATAGCGCGATGCACTACTGGGCCGCGCCGCGCATCAAACAATTCTTCTCGCAAACATAATAGATAGATTCGGTAAATCGGCGAAATGCGAATGATTGACATCGTGAATCAAATCGCGTATCAAATATTTCCACAGAAAGTACAAAGTACAGCCAATTTTATTTTATTATTTGTACTAAGTTGGCTTGATTGACAATGCCAATTTGTTTTAGCTCGTAGATCCGCTTTGTCATACGTTGTAGACCTGCGGCGCACGAGTGCACGGATATATCGCTTTTTTAATGTCAGCTTCCTGTTCAGGGAGCTTAAAAATATAGAGCCGCGAAAGATTTGATCTGGATTCATGAACAAAGTTACTGGGCGGCGCTCAGCCTGTCATTCCGCCAAATCTCGACTATTCATATGATTATGAACATAAATATAATAGCCTGGGTCCCTTGTCATACAACGTTGTCATACAACGTTGTATTAACCGCCGCGCACGAGTGCGCGGCTCCCACTGTATCGTAGAAACTCTATAGTGAAACGACCGTGGGGGTCACGACCTGATACAATGGGGGTTCACATAGCCATGTGTATACGCGTACTGCGTGACGCGCTTGTTTCACGTAGACAGTAGAGGGCTCTGGTTAGAGCAACAATGGGGGTCACGACGTGATACAAGGGGTCCCCAGGTAAGAACAAGGAAGATTGAAAAAAGTTGTAATGAAGCTTGAAAATAGCACTTCGCATAGCATAGAGATTCGCTCCTACTAAATCGCTCGCCCAAATTTTAAGAAAATTCTTGTGAAAAGGTCCTTTGGGCATGGAATTGTAGATTTACAACCTACCAGGACGCGCGCCAAGTTGGACTCGTCGACGGTGGAACAGATATTTTACGAGTATCACCCGTTAAGCATGGGAGTGATCTAGATCGGTGTAGTTTTGGACGCTGATTCCGAATCACCCCCCATGACGTAGGGTTAAAATGCTCACCTGGAGAGTTATGGGCAAAAAACCGTTTTGGTCACGTGACAGGCTAGTAAAATACGAATTCGATTGTTTAGGGCCCGGGTTAGGGTTAGGATTGTGGTGAGGGTTATAGTTAGCTTCGGGGTTATGGTTAGGATTAGGGTTGGGATTAGGGTTTATGTAAAACCGTTTGTACGGCTGCAAAACCATAAAAACCAAAGTCACGTGAAATTTTTGGGCGAGCGAATTAGTAAAAGCCATAGAGATTAGCTCGTTTGGTATTTGATAACGCTTTGATACATGTTGTATCACTTTTTTAAATATATGTTACAGCTTTAAACCGACTAATAAGTATGAAGTATTGAGTATGAATGAATGAAATACCTGACAATCCGCACTCCTATAATTCAAAAGCATGAGTAACTCGTAGTGATACGTATGATTTCTAGAAACTTTAAATTAAATTTAGCGCTCACAGGTCCTCGTGATAATATGATCGCCGCATGAGTGATGAGGTTTTTTTTTTTAATGTGCGGGGCCTCAACACTCAAACTTAAATTATTCACCTTACTGCGGCAGTCAATCAACGCGCGGCTTTGTGTTTATGATATGACATGTTTTGATTGTTATTAATAAATACCAAAATTTAAATTTGTTTTCCTAAAACTTGTTTTCCTAAACACTAAAGAAATAAAAATAATTTTTACAAAAAGAGGTATACAATGTGTATAATATTGAGTATGTAGTATCAAAACACAAAAAACGCCTCACCAACAAAACATAAAAACTAAAATTAATGTGTATCAACTTACTCATGATGGTTCAGTTTTAATTGTCACCTTTGTTTAGCTTTAGAACAACACACGTTTTTAATTGAATGTTTTTGTTATTTCTAAAACCCAAAAATATAATTTATTGTTACATATTCAAAACCTTTAATTTTGTATTTTTTTGGCGACGTTTTAAATTTAAATTTTATTATCTCCATAATTTAGCTTTTAATAAGAGATATTGGCAGAAACTAAAATTAAGTTTTGACATTTAGTTATTTTTAGGGAAACATTGGAATTGGTTGTTATTTTATTAACTATTCCTTGTTTAGAACTTTTATTTGATAATTGGCGGAAGTACGCGCCGCGCACAGTCACGCCGCGCAAATATCAAACTTCGTTCTCAACGGCGAATGCTTGCGCAGTGTTACACGCAGAGGTCACGTGATTGCAGGTTTATCCTGGTCGAGTAAGACAAACTCAGTCTTTTTGAACGTTTGTTACATCTTATCGTATTTGTTCATAGCTGTTGAACGGCTTAACAGAACAATCCAATCATGGTAAGTCGAATGTTTACACACTTTTAACGCTAGGCATTGATATTGTACAAAACCTTGCCGCGAATCTCCGATTTATCTTGTTCTGGTCTCACGACGGGTTCAGAGCACGTGGTCACCATAGTCTTGTATAGAAGCCGGATGCTTTCGAGAAGTCCAGCAATGATCCATTTATCGCTCCAACCACATTGACTTGGCCCTTAGAAAGTGAAAATGCTGTACCCATAGTTATCATGATACAATGTCATGAATAACAAGTTTATACAGCTAGAAGAATTTCTTATCTTACCTGGATTTAGTCTCTCGTGGCTCGTCCTAAAACATGAGAATACAACATCTACCGATGTCATCTTGAGTCACTTGTGAGATCTATGACAATCAGCGATGGGAGTCTGTCAAAACCTATGTAGTTTTCACCTGCCTATCACAACTTCTGTTCACATGTGGTCAGATGTCTTAACCATGTCATGATACACACGTGTGCTCATCAAATTGAAATAGAACGATGATAGACATGTCACTTCCGACCTCAGTTCAGTCTTAGGCTTGACATGTTTTAATGGAACTCGTAGCTAGCGCAAGCATGTCATCTTGTTCAGAGAATTTCTCGGAAATTTGAACTTAATTCCTCAGAATGTGATAAGTGCAAGTGATCAGAGAAAATGTCAGGAGATTGGGAGATGTCTTGTGAATTGTAGAGCACATGTTGTCAGTGTCGTCCTGGTTCTCACAACTTAATATTTCAGGTTAATTTCACAGTCACAGAATTGCGGAGGGCAATGGACTACCCAAAAAACATCCGTAACATGTCAGTTATTGCTCATGTTGATCATGGCAAATCTACCCTGACCGATTCTCTTGTCTCCAAAGCAGGTAAAGTTCTCGATTCGATTGTTCAAACGTTATTATTTGTATTAAGAAATGCTGCACCCATAGTTATCTTGATACTATGTCATGAACAACAAGTTTATGCAGCTAAAACAAATTCTTATCTTACCTGGATTTAGTCTCATATGGCTCGTCCTAAAACATAAGAATACAACACATTTGACTATTAAGTGGCCTTTATTTGTGTTACGTTTGGACATGGAGGACATCCATATCATACCTGATGGTTGTTGGTTTACTTTCCCGCCATAACATAGTATTAGTATAACCCATTATTACTGTTTTCATTTGTTGTGCCATTATTGGTGCGGCGGGAAATGACAGGATGAATCAAATTACAGGTATCATTGCCAACGAGAAAGCTGGAGAGGCTAGGTTCACTGACACAAGGAAAGACGAACAGGAGCGATGTATTACCATCAAATCCACCGGTGTTACCTTGTATTACGAACTGGACGACTACAACATGCAGTATTTGGATGACACTCAATTCCACGAGGGAAAGAATGGTTTCCTCATCAACCTGATCGATTCACCCGGTCACGTTGATTTCTCTTCTGAGGTACGATTTTGTGCGTGTAGTTATTAATTATGGTGTTCTGCAATGTTGTGCACGATTTTATTGATTATTGATTCTTTGAAGATCATGCTTTTATTTACCTCTGTTTTCAATGAATAACCTCCACTCAAGCTCAGTTCATAATCAATTAAAATTATTTTATTTTCATTATTTGATTATAATCTGGAAATGCTGCACCCATAGTTATCATGATACAATGTCATGAATAACAAGTTTATGCAGCTAGAATAATTTCTTATCTTACCTGGATTTAGTCTCTCGTGGCTCGTCCTAAAACATAGGAAAACAACATTTTTCGGCAAGAGCCATTCAGTCCGTAATTTGCTGCACGTCTAGTGGAATCTGATATGGCAGTTTCTGAAAATATTATTCTTTATTTAAAATGTATTTTATTTTATGCGGCTCATGTAAATGTAGATTGAAGAAGTGTATTGAACTGAAATGAAAAGATCTGTACTAATTTGCATTACAACTATTCAGGTAACCGCTGCTCTGCGAGTAACTGACGGAGCCCTGGTAGTGGTTGACGCTGTCAGTGGTGTCTGTGTGCAAACTGAGACCGTCCTCCGACAGGCTCTTGCTGAGAGGATCAAACCCGTACTTTTCCTGAACAAGATGGACAGGGCTCTTCTCGAGCTCCAGCTGGACAAGGTTGGTGGAAAGTTTAAAGTATATGCGTATAATGTACTTTTTTATGCACTGTAGTTATTCTGCACTATGAGTACGATTGATAATTTATTTTATTGATGGTTTACTCTTTTAAGATAATGCTCTGTATTCATTGAAAAACACCCACCTCGTTATTATCTGGAAATGCTGCACCCATAGTTGTCTTGGTACTATGCCATGATAACAAGTTTATGCAGCTAAAAAAAATTCTTATCTTACCTGGATTTAGTCTCTAATGGCTCGTCCTAAAACATAGGAATACAAAATTTGTTGGTTTAAATTGGCCTAATCATTCGCAAAATCCATTCAGTCTATAATTTGCACTGCAATGAAACTAAATCTTGTAATAATCTTCAGGACACTCTGTACGACACATTCCGTAAGATCGTAGAGAACATCAACGCCATCATCACCATCTACGGAGCTACCGGTGGTCCCGAGAGGATGGTTGGCCCTGTTGAGGGTACCGTCGGATTCGGTTCCGGTCTCCACGGGTGGGCTTTCAGTTTGAAACAATTCGCTGATACCTACACCAAGAAAGATAAGGCAAAGTGCGACAAATACATCCCGAAACTGTGGGGAGATCACTACATAGATCAGGCTGGAAAGTGGTCTAAGAAGCCTGGTGAGGGAAAAATGCGTGGTTTCTGCAAGCTGATCCTCGACCCAATCTTCAAGGTATTTTGAGACATTCCGTGAACATGATTTTCAACATGCTGTACCCATAGTTATCATAATACAATGTCATGAATAACAAGTTTATACAGCTAGAAGAATTTCTTATCTTACCTGGATTTAGTGTCTAATGGCTCGTCCTAAAACTTAAGAATACAAAATGCCATAACGTTGCCATCCAAAGCAACCCATGGTACTTGTTATGAAGATTAAGTCGTTATCCCATACGCATACATCATGATGTGCCTGTTCAGTAATTGATTTTAATTTCAGATCTTCAACTTCTGCATGAAGTCCAACGAACCACTAGAGGCCATCAAATTCGCCGAGAAACTGAAGGCTGAGTTCACCTCTGCAGAGAAAGATCTAGAGAAGAAAGCTCTTTTCAAGATCATCATGAAGAAGTGGCTGCCAGCTGGAGACACCCTACTGGAAATGATCTCCATCCATCTTCCTTCTCCCGTAACTGCCCAGAGATACAGAGCTGAGATGTTGTACGAGGGACCCCAAGACGATGCCTACGCTAAGGGTATCCAAGACTGCGATCCTAAAGTGAGAGATGAAGCTTTTTTTTTGTACAGTTGACTTCATTGGCAAATGCAGATGATTTAAAGCTTCTACGAGCTGAACTTTTTAAAAGTAAAATCAGGTTTGAAGTCGCTTATGTGGTATATCAAATGATCATTATCTGACCATCAGGCACCCCTCATGATGTACATCTCCAAAATGGTACCGACCAACGACAAAGGACGATTCTACGCTTTCGGACGTGTCTTCTCAGGAACCGTCGGATCTGGAATGAAAGTCAGGATTATGGGACCCAACTTCATCCCCGGAAAGAACGAAGATCTCAACATCAAGACCATCCAGAGGTATTTTAAAATTTGCATACAACTTGTACTAGACTATATACTTGTGGATTCTGCTTTGATTATGAATCGTTATTTCATCTCTGTTCATGTTTAACAAATCCGGCGGTCGTAATCGCTTAAAATATGTAGATCAAGCTCTATTATAATCTGGAAATGCTGCACCCATAGTTGTCTTGGTACTATGCCACGATAACAAGTTTATGCAGCGAAAAAAATTTCTTATCTTACCTGGATTTAGTCTCTTATGGCTCGTCCTTAAACATAGGAAAACAATATTTTTCGGCTAAAATTGGCCTTATCATTCGCAACGGCTGTTTCTACAAATACTATTCTGTACTTAACTGCCATCACCGTTCTTACTCCTGAACATAGAATATCGGGGAATAAAACACGAATAACCCATATTTTGCCTTGATCACTGATTTATTTCATCTCATGTTTTCAATTTCAGGACCGTTCTGATGATGGGTCGATATACTGAGCACATTGACACTGTACCCGCTGGTAACACAGTTGGTCTTGTCGGAGTTGATCAATACATTCTCAAAACCGCTACCATCACCAACGAGAATGGCAAGGACGCTCACAACATGAAACAGATGAAATTCTCTGTATCCCCTGTGGTCCGTGTCGCTGTCGAGGCCAAGAACCCTCAGGATCTCCCCAAACTTGTGGAGGGACTCAAGAGGTTGGCCAAGTCCGATCCTATGGTGCAGTGCTTCAACGAGGCAAATGGTGAACATATCATCGCTGGTGCTGGAGAACTCCATCTTGAGATCTGTCTTAAGGATCTGGAGGAGGACCACGCCTGTATCCCCATCAAGGTTTGTAATTTTAACATACTTTCGTTTTTCATTAAACTCGAAGATGCTGCACCCATAGTTATCTTGGTACTATGTCATGAATAACAAGTTTATGCAGCTATAAGAATTTCTTATCTTACCTGGATTTAGTCTCTTTTGGCTCGTCCTAAAACTTAGGAATACATAATACACACGTTGTTACTCGTTAAGGCTTACGATTTTAAAAATATTTCACTGATTTCTGTCAACGAACACTGCATAATGAGGCTAACTTTTCAGAGATCTGACCCAGTTGTGTCGTACAAGGAATCTATCGCCAACGTCTCTGACATGATGTGCCTGTCTAAATCACCTAACAAGCATAACCGTATCTTCTGTATGGCTCAACCCCTCGGAGAGGAATTCTCTACAATGATTGATGACGGAACCATCACCCCAAGACAGGACAACAAATCACGATCCAAGTAAGTTTTATTTTCCCTTTCAGGTTCATCTGAGAATTAAATTGGATTAATTTTGTGAACACCATTCTGCGTCTGTTATTCAATATTCATACAGTACAGACCAGGATTAATTACAACTGTTCAACAGCTGACCTTTACCAAATCCTGGCTCACTTTGTAGGTGTTATCAGCACTGCTAAATGTGCCGTCCAGATCGATTTCGCAGTGACCATAACATTCGCGCGAGTGTGCTGCATTGTGCTATCCCTAGCTCATATGCTCACTGCACTATCCCTTGCGCTGCTGAGGTGCTCGCGCTCATGCGAAATGCTGTGCCTACCATCTGCACTCTGCAGTCACAAGAACTTGCTACTACGCGGTGAATAAATTACATGCACTATTTAAAATCCTGCTTGTTTCACGATCGTAAGAAAGTTGACCGTCTTCCGATGAAAAATATCTATGTTTGGATAGAATTTGTTATAAGAATTAAAATAAAATCACCCATATATCGGCCTGCCACCCCAGTCCATTAAGTTGTCTAAATGATTATCTCCGATCATCATTGGAGAATCACGCTGTATTCAGAAGTTGGAATTTACAAGAATCAGCATTGAAACCAGCGTGATGTCCACATTTACGACTTGTTAAGCAGCTTACCTAAAATGCTTATCTAAAGTGATTTAGAATATGCTTAATTTATATTTATAGATTATGCTCATCTGTAGATTAAAACAAAACAAAAATAAATGTCACCTGACGTTTATGGTATTATGAAAATTTCCTTTGGAGCTTTTCTGCATCCAAAGTTATCTTGCTACCATGTCATGATAACAAGTTTATACAGCTAGATGAAATTTGTATCTTACCTGGATATAGTCTCTTATGAATACAAACTATTTCTTGTCAGCTATTCAGACGAAAACTGCAGCCTCTCTTAACTGATTAATTAATAACTAAATAATAATAATAAAACATTATGCGAAGCAGCTGAAGACTGAACATTTTAAGGGGAGGGGGGGGGGGTGGTTGGGTTCAGTCTGATATTTTTCTGAAACTTGTTTTCGAGATAACAGTCCAAAAATTACTAGGGCTGGTGACTGGTGCTCGCGTTACATGACATCACGTTACAATGATAAATCACATAACTTAAAACTGTCTCTGAAGAACAAGACTTAATGTATCAACTAGCACACCTCCTATTTTAGAACATCGATTCAAACAATGTATTTTCTAAAACTTAGACCTTAGTGATATAACACAAACACGATCGACAATTGCGCGACCCTGAGAACTTGCATTCACTATTCAGCCCACAATCGGGATATTTGTATTTGGTGTCTTCGCTCACAGCTTCATTGCTCGTATCGACTCCATGTTGGGAATGTTGTAGGTCAGCTAATTAGTGGAATTGTCCCTTTGGTGTGGTAATGTTATTATACATTCTAACTATTGCACAACCTACAATTATATCGCATTGTCCATTTTTCGTCTATAATGCCTACACGATAAAAGAGCCGGATATAACATTTTCCGGTAGCCTCAGTTGGATTTATTAGCCCCACACAAGTTTTACCGTCATCTAAACTTTACAGAGGAGACCTGCCGAAATAAAACAACGCTGCAATTTACCTCTAAGTTTAAACAACGACATACCTTATTAAACCTAGTGTAACTTGACACTGTGATAATTAATTTATGATACCATCTGACAGTAGCGGTGTGCTGTGATGGGGGTGTGTAAATTAAATCTACTCGTGAAACCAGTATTATATTTGAACAGAGTTGTGATTTGTATTTAACAATATTCACATTCTTCGACTGCAGTCGGGGGGGGGGGGGGGGGGGGGGGATCAGGTACTAAGTGCCGTACGTGACGTCGACTAAGTGCAGTTTTGGACTTTACAAAAAGGACCCACCCACCCCCTTCACGGTACTAACTGCTTTTTTGGATAATATTTAGGACACCCACCCCCTTTTGCCGGCTTCTGCGGTACTAACTGTTGAGAAATAACGGTACTAACCGAGTCTGGGTATATAAAATAAGATACCCACTCATAAATTGCTTTGAACAGCTCATTAAACATTGGAAATGGGCAAATTATACCCACTATTTAGTAGGGGTTTTGTTTTCAATGTAGTCGAATTAGATAAAAAGTTACAACAAAATTTAAAAAATGACAAAAAAACCTCAATACAAAACCCATTCCCAAAATTGAAATTTGAGGTAAAATGGTTTTTTTGGGGTTGGACACCCAAAAAATGAACCCCTTAGTACCATGTACTAACTGTTTTTCTGGGAAATGAGCAGCAGACCCACCACTTCGTACAAGAGTACTAACTGCGTTTTGGAAGAAAATATGACCCACCCACCCAACGTCACGTACGATTCTGACCATATGATCCCCCCCCCCCCCCCCCCCCTGCTGCAGTGCGCCTATATCTACCTTCTCCAATATCACATATTTGCTAACAACTAAAACCTACTAGGATTATAAAATGGCTGATGATTTTAAGATAGCCCAACCGAAGCAATACCAGAGACTATTCCTGAAAGATGATATCAGACCTGACGGTCGAGCACTGACCGGCTGTAGAGAAGTAAAGATCCACGTCAATACAGTGAGCAGTGCTCTGGGAAGTGCGATGGTGTGCTGTGGAAATACCCGTGTTATAGCCGGGATCAAGGGCCGGTTTGCTGAACCCACCATAAACAATCCCAGCTCCGGGTACCTGGTACCCAACATGATCCTGCCCATGGCCTGCAACACCAAGTACAAACCAGGATATCCCGCTGACTCGGGGGTGGCCATGTCAAACAAGTTGGAGACCCTCATAACAGACGTTACTGACCTAATGGAGCTGTGTGTGGTGCCCGGAAAGGTGGTGTGGTGTCTCAATCTGGATATCGTCTGTATTAACGACGACGGTAATGTGCTGGACGCAGCCGTGTTAGCGTTGTCGGCGGCCCTCAACAATTGCTGGCTACCAGCTACTCATGTGATAGAGGAGACAGGAAGAGTTGTTGTGGATCCTGAGGGAGAGAAGACAAAATTAGAGCTGAAGTTCATTCCTATATCAGTCACCTTATCAGGTTAGTTTATCCTCACTTTAGCTGTAACACTAAGTCGAGTAAGCTATCAAAATAAAATATCACTATCTTCCTCGAAATAATGCACGAAAACCTAAAAAATTTGACGAACGTTTTGTTTTCTATCGATGCAAACATCCTAATGCCCAATCTCCCCAGTTTTCGACGATCAAACGTTACCGGACCCATCAGAAGATGAAGAAAAGATCCAGTGTGGCTCACTGACCTGTTGTATAGACGATCAGAGCAAAATAAGGGCTATGTGGTCAAGTGCTAATTTGGCGGACGATGTTTTATCAGCCGCACTGATTTATGTCAAGAAAAGGGCCTCTGTCTTGTTATCAGTTCTTCAGAAGGTCTCAAAGACCTCGTGACCACTGACCACGTGCTTTAACCATATCTCACTACCCCTCAAATCTCAATATCAAATATAACGAATGCTAAGTTAACACGCCTCGTGAGACTGGTAGGTTTTCTTAATATAAAGGAACCTTCTTCTCTCCCAACCTTTGCCGATGTGGACTCGTTAAGACGAGACCAAGAACAGAGAATACTGGACACAATTCTTATCATTTGTATGGGGCTGTTCGCATACTACATTGAAACTGTGGGTCGGGAAAACCTTTCAGAAGTGGGTGAGTGGAGGTTAAAACACGGCTACAAAGTGAAAACGAAACATGCGAAAGGTCCCCCAATTCTGTGCTTACTCCTTCATTTTTTACACAAATGATGATATCTTTTCAGCAGCTTTACTATCTTTGGTTTTTACTGTTTAACTAATTACACCAATCCAGTCTGAATACATGACGTGACTCGCGACTGAGTCACCAAGAGGGTCTTCTTGAATGCACATTATAGAATGAAAAGTGCAAATTGACAACATTTGAAAAGCAGACATTTTTCCGCGCGCAATCTGCTACGCGCATCAAAATTTATCGACAAACCGTGTTAGATCTCGACGGTCACACCGACTCATGTATTAATAATGTGTATAATTGTAGGCGGAAATGTTTGAACATGATATTTAAAACATAATCTTACAGATTAATCGCCGACAAGTTCACAGAGGAAAACGATTTGCTGACAAACTGGAACCGAACTGATGCTCTTAAGATCTGGTGTTTCGGACCTGACCAACAAGGTCCCAACTGCGTCGTTGATGTTTCCAAGGGAGTCCAGTATCTGAATGAAATCAAGGACTCTGTCGTTGCTGGATTCCAGTGGGCTGCCAACGAAGGTGTATTGTGCGAAGAGAACATGAGAGGAGTGCGAATCAACATTCACGATGTAGCTCTGCACGCTGATGCTATCCACAGGGGAGGTGGTCAGATCATTCCCACCACTCGACGTGTCTGCTATGCCTCCGTCTTGCGGGCTGACCCATGTCTTCTTGAACCTATTTATCTGTGCGAGATCCAGTGTCCTGAAGCTGCTGTTGGAGGTATCTACGGATGTCTCACCAAGCGAAGAGGAATGGTGTTCTCAGAATCTCAAGCTGAGGGAACTCCCATGTTCTACGTCAAAGCTCACTTGCCAGTCATGGAATCTTTCGGTAAGTCTCAATGCATAGTTTCTGATTTTAATTCCAACTTCACGAATGTTACACTATCGAAATAGACAATCATTTGTATCGTCCACATTTTGACACATTCTTTTCAGGATTCTCCAGCGCACTGAGGGCCGCAACTGGTGGACAAGCTTTCCCACAATGCGTATTCGATCATTGGGCTGTAAGTACCCTCAAATTGTTTATTAAAATGAGTTTAGTCGAACATTCTTGATTCTACGACCAAGAAATTTTATCAGGAACACCTTAAAACAACTGATTAGATTTCAAATACTCTTGTTGAAATACTACTACCGTAATTAATAGCTAAGGCGTTGTCATCTTAAACGTGGCATTACATAAATGGGGTGCAAATTTACAAAAATTAGTTCGATTTTCTTTAAAAAAAGGTGTAAAGATCTGTATATAAGATAAGTTGCTTTTAGACAGGATACTAAAATACAGGGTGGCCCAAACTACCCACACGAAACCCTTTAATAACTCACATTATTGGTATCAGAATTGCCTAAAATAATTGGTATCAGAATTGCCCTAAAATTTCAGCGAACATAGATATGGGTCAAACTTAAATTTCCTGAAATTTTTATAAAGTTTCATCGATTACAGAGGGTGTGGCAAACCACTCCCTCTTTTTCTCTTTTGTCGCCATAAAGTGAGAAAGTTTTGAGTAAGGAACTCCAAAATTTCCAGACACATGTGGTTTGATAATTGAAGTGCTTTCCCAAAATTTCAAGTTGGTTGTTTACAACTAAACCGAGTTATGACCATTTAAAAATCTGGCGGATACATGATCTCTCACCTAATCTGTGATTTCTTCACTCAATCAATGGTCTGATTGGTTAGAAACAGCTCATAGGACATAAATTTAGTTATACAATTATATACATAAATTTAGTTAGCACCTTCAAAATATGGGTAGGTAATAATCATAAATGCAGGGAAGATAATAAAATGATAACAAAACTAAATGTTGGTACGGTATGTCCGTAAGAGATGCCTACGTCAGAGGAAATATGCCCAAATATCTATAATTGCAATTGGCGTTTAAATACAGAAAGTATACGCCTAATCTGCACTGATAATAGTGATCCTCATCATATTTTATTTCAGGAGATGCCAGATAACCCAATGAAAGAGGGAACAAAGACCCACACTATCATCATGAAAACAAGGAAGAGGAAGGGACTTAAAGTTGAACTTCCAGTTTTCGAAAACTATTTCGACAAGTTGTAGGATGTTTTACCAGTTCCTCCTGTTTTAAAGATTGAATTGCGGTGGTTTTTACATTACTCTTAAATTTTTGAGTTTTAAATAGTCATTCTTGTGGTTTCACTTTTTACTTTGACTTGAAAACTGACAAAAAAAATTAAACACTGGCCAGTTTTATTCTCGAATTCAGAATTGGGACGACAAAATGTCTTTGACAAAGTAGGTGGCATGCCTGTGAATCAAGCCTAAAATCTTGGGGGGGGGGGGGGGGGGGGGGGGGGGGGCAACCATATTAAAGTATATCCCCGGGTCAAAATCGGAAAAAATCCTACATTTTAATATACTTTAATATAATGTACCTACAATTAGTAGATTAGAAGATAAGCCAGTTGCTAGTCCCCTGAACTCATACTTCATATATTTTGGCTCATAAATTGGTCAAGTATCAATATCTTTGAACAAGACTAACTTTACATGAAAGGTAAATCTAATCCATACATTAAATAAAACAAAATTTTTCACATGATTGTTTATAATGCAGGTATATTAAAGTATATATCCCGGGTCAAAATTGAAAAAATATCTACATTTTAATATACTTTAATATGGTTCAAAATTTTACTGGAGAAAATGTAGGTATATTAAGTATATTAAAAGGGGGGGGGCAACCATATTAAAGTATATTAAAGTATATCCCCGGGTCAAAATCGGAAAAAATCCTACATTTTAATATACTTTAATATACCTACAATTAGAAGATTTATATTCTTCGTTAAGATTTACCTGATGAACTATATTTTTCACTCAGATTCGCAAGATAAGCCTGTTTTAGGACTAGTACATGAATTTCCATCCAGATTGGTCAAAAATTGGCTGAGCTATGAGCTTTAAAAAATATGCCCATATTTGGGCATACGCTTTTGTCAAAATTCGCTTTTGCCCAAATTCGATAAAATTTCAATATTTTTTAATGATACAAACTCTATGTGAAATATATAACTCAGTGTTTGTTGGATATAGTGGATACTAAGTAAAAAGACCTCCATGAACAAAATTGGGAAAATTGCACATAATATCTCGGTTCAGAATACTAGCCAAAATAACTTCATTAAAATTGAAATAACTCCATCAGTTTTCAATATTTTTTCAAGAACTTTTTGGAATCGATTAAGGATTGCATATCAAGCTTATTTTGAGCAACAATTTTTGATGTAGGCCTCCAAGGAGATAGGGATATATTAAAGTATATTAAAGTATATCCCCGGGTCAAAATCGGGAAAAATCCTACATTTTAATATACTTTAATATGGTTGGCCCCCCCCCCCCCCCCCCCCCCAAGATCCTACATTTTAATATACTTTAATATGGTTGCCCCCCCCCCCCCCAATCTTCTGTAGACTAGTCAATAGATTTTCTTGTATCTCAATAGCGGCGAGCTGGAGGCCATCTCAGATTTAATCCGAGCTCTCTAAATTGATTTAATAGTTGTTCCTGATAGAGGGAAATATTATATTAGCTGCTTTGGTCTTGAAAATCATGTGACCTCTTCTTTTTTTTTTTCAATTTCCAGTCCAAAATCGAATACAAAATTTTGAGGGCATATTTCAAAATTCTGTCGAGAGTCACCTCTCCTAAACACTAGATGATCCCTAGAACACATCCTGAATCGGCCATCTCACAGATTTAATATGAGCTCTCTAAATTGATTTAATAGTTGTTCCTGACAGAGGGAAAGGATGATGATCAATTACTCTACACTCGACTGTCACGTGACTTCTTCAACCCGTTCTCTAGCTGGTCCTGAACGACTATTTGAAACCTTAACCCTCTAATCTGATCTCAACCCTAACCCTAACCCAATCCTTAACAAAAGCATATGCTGAAATCCTAACCACTAACCCTAACGAAATATTTGACTAACTTCCTTATACGGTCATATCACGTGATCGAGACAGTTTTTCGCCAATATCTCGTCAGGGGAGCATTTTAACCCTATGTCATGGAGGGTGCTTCGGAATCAGCGTCCGAAAATACATCGATTGAACATTGAAGTTGGTTTCAACTGTAGGGGGCCCTTTTAGAATTAGAACAATCTCGTAGATCGACTGCACGCTCGCTAAAAGAGAGGAGCAAGCAATAAACTCAAAACTAGCGTCTAGCAAGCTAAATAAATTATGCCCATGTTGTAAAGGTTTAATTGGAACTGTTTGAAACTCATTCGTTGTGAGAAACTTGATTGACGATGTCAACCCATCGAGATCGTTGCTCTGCGAAGCAGAGCAACGGTCGACGATGCGAAGCAAAAATGAATCGATGATGCGAAGCAAGAATGCTAGTTCGCGTCGAAGCGGCGAAGTCGGAAGTCCTCCAATGAGAAACATTCGCCTAACCACTAACCATGTGCTTTCGCGCCACTGCAAGGGCTCTGGATAGACTTAGAGCAATGACAAACACTAAAATGGGCCCACCCCAGTTTAATTATTGATTAGTGATTAGGGTCAAGGTTAAGGTTATCACAAATATCAGAGATATTATGACATATCAACATGTTATGTATCCTTTTTCATCCTCGCGCGCGAAAAGTGGCATGCAACGTATGTCAAGGTTAAGGTTAGGGTTACGTTTTAATAATTAATACGTTCAACACTGACACTACTATATAGCAAACAATTTGAGATCATGAATACGATGTTGTCACATTGAAAGGTTGAATAATTCCTTTCCTGATATATAATAAATGATATATAATAAAAGCCTTTTCCTTGTCGCATCAAACGGGATCGATAGAAATTTACTCAAGAAAACGTTAGGGTTAGGCAATCAAAGTAATGGGGGTTATTTATATTTGAAGTGGGATAGATCGACATGGGCTCGCTATAAGTATAATAAATTCGTCGTACCGAGCTGATTACGATTCAGTAAAAATTATTTCAAAGAAACTGATACTTTTGAGTTATGGACATTTTTTGTCATACGTTGTATGACCCGTTGTAGCGCGATGCGTTACTGTTGACTGTGCCGCGCCGCGCACTTAATAAGGCTTCTCACATCCAAAAAGTTGGATATGATCATCAGCTACAGTGGCTGTAGCTGATGATCATATCCAACTTCAAGAATGTTTGAAGCGATATCTTATGACTTGGTTGATTGGTGAAATATACAACTTTGATTTTTTGCAAAAATTTCAATTTTGCTTCTCTCGACCTTGTTTGGTCTGTAACTTCATCATTTACTGTTTAATTATAAAATCCTTTGAAGGGCTTCTTGTACGGATTGTTAATAATGTTCATTCAAAAAATCAGCCAAAAAACGTTTAAATTGACTGAAATATCCTTATTCAACTTTCGAAAATAAAAATATTATTTTTTTCGAAAGTGAGTGCTCTCAAAAATAATTTTTAATGTATCAAATCTTATTGTTTTTATGTATACTTTAATAATATGAAGTCAAATCTCGGGTCTCTGAATAGAAGGTTTTGGTATATGTCCCCTTAAAGCACTTAGCAAAATCAACATATTGCATATTGTTTGAACAGCTCAAATTGTTATTACATATTAACTGTTAGTGTTGGTTGATTAGTAATGCCACTTACGAACACTCTACGAATACGAATACTCTGGCTGAGTACGGTTGTGTGCTGCAGCTAGCTTGTACATCGTAGCTGCAGTGGTCACGGACCGTTGTATTCAGTGTTTAATTAACTATTCATTTCTAAATTCAGTATCACAATTTCATATAATATACAGTAGGGCACAAAGTTTATTATTATATTATTAGTATTACGCTAACAGTGCAGTATCATTTGTCGCAAGAAAGCAGAATAATCAGAAACTATTTGGAACTCCCAAAAACTGTCTATTATTACGCTATAGTTAGCAATTATAAGTTGAGCGTACTCAATATATATAAGTAATTTGTAACATGTAATGCATTAAATGTAACCCAGTATTGACCCCACTAGCTCACCCACGCATCATCAATCCTGAATCATCAATCATGTCGAAGGCGCGCACTCCACGGATGAAAATCGACCATGTTGATGTATATAATATAGTCAACTATTAGTATTACTATTTAGTAGAACGGGGGGGGGGGCAACCATATTAAAGTATATCCCCGGGTCAAAATCGGAAAAAATCCTACATTTTAATATACTTTAATATAATGTACCTACAATTAGTAGATTAGAAGATAAGCCAGTTGCTAGTCCCCTGAACTCATACTTCATATATTTTGGCTCATAAATTGGTCAAGTATCAATATCTTTGAACAAGACTAACTTTACATGAAAGGTAAATCTAATCCATACATTAAATAAAACAAAATTTTTCACATGATTGTTTATAATGCAGGTATATTAAAGTATATATCCCGGGTCAAAATTGAAAAAATATCTACATTTTAATATACTTTAATATGGTTCAAAATTTTACTGGAGAAAATGTAGGTATATTAAGTATATTAAAAGGGGGGGGGGCAACCATATTAAAGTATATTAAAGTATATCCCCGGGTCAAAATCGGAAAAAATCCTACATTTTAATATACTTTAATATACCTACAATTAGAAGATTTATATTCTTCGTTAAGATTTACCTGATGAACTATATTTTTCACTCAGATTCGCAAGATAAGCCTGTTTTAGGACTAGTACATGAATTTCCATCCAGATTGGTCAAAAATTGGCTGAGCTATGAGCTTTAAAAAATATGCCCATATTTGGGCATACGCTTTTGTCAAAATTCGCTTTTGCCCAAATTCGATAAAATTTCAATATTTTTTAATGATACAAACTCTATGTGAAATATATAACTCAGTGTTTGTTGGATATAGTGGATACTAAGTAAAAAGACCTCCATGAACAAAATTGGGAAAATTGCACATAATATCTCGGTTCAGAATACTAGCCAAAATAACTTCATTAAAATTGAAATAACTCCATCAGTTTTCAATATTTTTTCAAGAACTTTTTGGAATCGATTAAGGATTGCATATCAAGCTTATTTTGAGCAACAATTTTTGATGTAGGCCTCCAAGGAGATAGGGATATATTAAAGTATATTAAAGTATATCCCCGGGTCAAAATCGGGAAAAATCCTACATTTTAATATACTTTAATATGGTTGGCCCCCCCCCCCCCCCAAGATCCTACATTTTAATATACTTTAATATGGTTGCCCCCCCCCCCCAATCTTCTGTAGACTAGTCAATAGATTTTCTTGTATCTCAATAGCGGCGAGCTGGAGGCCATCTCAGATTTAATCCGAGCTCTCTAAATTGATTTAATAGTTGTTCCTGATAGAGGGAAATATTATATTAGCTGCTTTGGTCTTGAAAATCATGTGACCTCTTCTTTTTTTTTTTCAATTTCCAGTCCAAAATCGAATACAAAATTTTGAGGGCATATTTCAAAATTCTGTCGAGAGTCACCTCTCCTAAACACTAGATGATCCCTAGAACACATCCTGAATCGGCCATCTCACAGATTTAATATGAGCTCTCTAAATTGATTTAATAGTTGTTCCTGACAGAGGGAAAGGATGATGATCAATTACTCTACACTCGACTGTCACGTGACTTCTTCAACCCGTTCTCTAGCTGGTCCTGAACGACTATTTGAAACCTTAACCCTCTAATCTGATCTCAACCCTAACCCTAACCCAATCCTTAACAAAAGCATATGCTGAAATCCTAACCACTAACCCTAACGAAATATTTGACTAACTTCCTTATACGGTCATATCACGTGATCGAGACAGTTTTTCGCCAATATCTCGTCAGGGGAGCATTTTAACCCTATGTCATGGAGGGTGCTTCGGAATCAGCGTCCGAAAATACATCGATTGAACATTGAAGTTGGTTTCAACTGTAGGGGGCCCTTTTAGAATTAGAACAATCTCGTAGATCGACTGCACGCTCGCTAAAAGAGAGGAGCAAGCAATAAACTCAAAACTAGCGTCTAGCAAGCTAAATAAATTATGCCCATGTTGTAAAGGTTTAATTGGAACTGTTTGAAACTCATTCGTTGTGAGAAACTTGATTGACGATGTCAACCCATCGAGATCGTTGCTCTGCGAAGCAGAGCAACGGTCGACGATGCGAAGCAAAAATGAATCGATGATGCGAAGCAAGAATGCTAGTTCGCGTCGAAGCGGCGAAGTCGGAAGTCCTCCAATGAGAAACATTCGCCTAACCACTAACCATGTGCTTTCGCGCCACTGCAAGGGCTCTGGATAGACTTAGAGCAATGACAAACACTAAAATGGGCCCACCCCAGTTTAATTATTGATTAGTGATTAGGGTCAAGGTTAAGGTTATCACAAATATCAGAGATATTATGACATATCAACATGTTATGTATCCTTTTTCATCCTCGCGCGCGAAAAGTGGCATGCAACGTATGTCAAGGTTAAGGTTAGGGTTACGTTTTAATAATTAATACGTTCAACACTGACACTACTATATAGCAAACAATTTGAGATCATGAATACGATGTTGTCACATTGAAAGGTTGAATAATTCCTTTCCTGATATATAATAAATGATATATAATAAAAGCCTTTTCCTTGTCGCATCAAACGGGATCGATAGAAATTTACTCAAGAAAACGTTAGGGTTAGGCAATCAAAGTAATGGGGGTTATTTATATTTGAAGTGGGATAGATCGACATGGGCTCGCTATAAGTATAATAAATTCGTCGTACCGAGCTGATTACGATTCAGTAAAAATTATTTCAAAGAAACTGATACTTTTGAGTTATGGACATTTTTTGTCATACGTTGTATGACCCGTTGTAGCGCGATGCGTTACTGTTGACTGTGCCGCGCCGCGCACTTAATAAGGCTTCTCACATCCAAAAAGTTGGATATGATCATCAGCTACAGTGGCTGTAGCTGATGATCATATCCAACTTCAAGAATGTTTGAAGCGATATCTTATGACTTGGTTGATTGGTGAAATTTCAATTTTGCTTCTCTCGACCTTGTTTGGTCTGTAACTTCATCATTTACTGTTTAATTATAAAATCCTTTGAAGGGCTTCTTGTACGGATTGTTAATAATGTTCATTCAAAAAATCAGCCAAAAAACGTTTAAATTGACTGAAATATCCTTATTCAACTTTCGAAAATAAAAATATTATTTTTTTCGAAAGTGAGTGCTCTCAAAAATAATTTTTAATGTATCAAATCTTATTGTTTTTATGTATACTTTAATAATATGAAGTCAAATCTCGGGTCTCTGAATAGAAGGTTTTGGTATATGTCCCCTTAAAGCACTTAGCAAAATCAACATATTGCATATTGTTTGAACAGCTCAAATTGTTATTACATATTAACTGTTAGTGTTGGTTGATTAGTAATGCCACTTACGAACACTCTACGAATACGAATACTCTGGCTGAGTACGGTTGTGTGCTGCAGCTAGCTTGTACATCGTAGCTGCAGTGGTCACGGACCGTTGTATTCAGTGTTTAATTAACTATTCATTTCTAAATTCAGTATCACAATTTCATATAATATACAGTAGGGCACAAAGTTTATTATTATATTATTAGTATTACGCTAACAGTGCAGTATCATTTGTCGCAAGAAAGCAGAATAATCAGAAACTATTTGGAACTCCCAAAAACTGTCTATTATTACGCTATAGTTAGCAATTATAAGTTGAGCGTACTCAATATATATAAGTAATTTGTAACATGTAATGCATTAAATGTAACCCAGTATTGACCCCACTAGCTCACCCACGCATCATCAATCCTGAATCATCAATCATGTCGAAGGCGCGCACTCCACGGATGAAAATCGACCATGTTGATGTATATAATATAGTCAACTATTAGTATTACTATTTAGTAGAACGCAACTTAACAAGCAGTAGAAGCCTCGGGGTAGGTATTTTAACGCACGTGTGGTGTACTTGGTATATTTAACCAATGCAAATTAAGTGCATCGATTAATTGGCAATTTCCAGAGTTTCGTTATGGTATCGTGGATTTCGTCCTTTTAAAGTGTATTGACTTTGACATTTGAGTGCATCTAATGTCAAATCAGGTTTTTCAGTAATGATAGTTGTACACTGATTGGGCTTCATGATTCATATTTTAATAATGAATAAACCATTGCTATTTTGTATTTGTAAGCGTATCTTTTTAAAACCCACTCTCTCGGCCTGCTGACGTGATACCAAATATGAAAACGATCCCTTAATCCTATTACAGTGTAATCAGAGTAGGACAGTGCATTCGAAAAGTTTCCCGCTGTATTTATTAACCTCCTGTACTTCAGTCATGTGTCAGCTATTCAATGCGGAGTAGGTACCAGCTAACTGTACCCGTCCATTTACTCGGCTGTGGAGCATGTTTATTCGTACAGTTTACTTTTTCTACAGCATACAGTTTTACAATTATGCAGATTTTACACATTTTTCAATCGTGCAAAACTTCGTGTAATAAATCAACTCCAGAGCCCGGAAGTACAATAGCTCGAAAGGGTTTTAAGTACAGGGCTGAGGGCACAGGCCGCTGATTTCCTGTACACTATGTGTAACTTTATGTTTCCAGCCGCTTGATCGTAACACAGACTTTGTCAAACATTAACCACATTCTGTTCTATTGTCTCTAGTTTGTATTGGTGTTGCTTTATTACCTGCTACTCCCTTCAATCTCTACAGCTTGCTAATGTCTACCGTGTTTTGTGGCGATTTGCCATAATTTATTGTTGGGACAAATTTATTGTTTAGGCAAAGAACCAAATTTTAACATATCATATATCAAAGTGTTTATTACTGTCAGATAAGATTAAGATGGGTAGGGACAGACAGGGTATTGACAGAGGTGCTTGTTCCAGATGTGACTGTGGAGAATATGTCCCTAACTCTAGATCCAGCACAGTCAACCAGGTATTTGGTGTTATCAAATGGTATAATCTGATTCACTGAGACGATTTTTATGCGGGCAGAACCAAACTAGATTATTGATTATATTATGCATTATGCTAATGCATAATCTTAGGTCTCTTAAGATTACAACAATATCAATAACACGGCTCTTGAAAAGTTCCTCCTAAAGTTAAAAGCCTAAAACACGACAGAGATGTGGTTACTGTGGTCACTACCCACCTCACCACTGGGAGAAACCCTCACTTCAACCCGACACCGGGTCAGACTCTCAACCTCCTGAAACCCAGGGTACAGTAACTAGGGTCATTTCTGGGTCCTGGACTATTCTTGGCACTTGTAAGTTGAATTATTCAACTGTAGTCTCCCAGTAGTGATTATAGTTTCAAATTGTAACTGGAGATTTAATAAAGATGTGGTGTTTATTGGCCAACTGCCACGTGCTAGAGTAATTTGCAAAACATGGTGTGCTAGTTGCTACTGTAATATAAGAGTATAAGTGTAGCACTGATAACTTCACGATTGATCCTCCAATCTTTTACCAGGCGTACAAAATATGGTGACGCTGAAATTCTATATTATTAAAATGTTGACGATAGTGATAAAATGGATATTTAGACAGAGTTTGGCACCCGCACGATTCATCGTGCTCATCTACATGTTTATACAGCCAACAAGATTTTATATTCAAATACATTGGTGAGTAAAAGTTCATAATATCCTAGCCTTATATATGTCAAGATATTCAAATGCTTCATGGAGAACAACAGCCAACCGGATAAACTTACAATTTTGATCGATCCTTTATTTAACGACAAGCTAGAACCAACAGTTCAACAATCTCAGTGAATCACAAGGGCACAGCGGCAGTGTTTCAGTAATGTTACAAATGGTCTACATATTTGCGTTATCGCTAGGACTCCTATTCTCCTACTCCTTAGAGCAATCCCCCGCTGAGTACTACAAGTCCTGGCTCAGAATGGCTCTCTTGGTTACTGCTATCTTTCTCTTACTGCTCTACTGGGTTAGCTATTGTTCATAAACTTTAAATACATGTATACATTAATCGAGTGAAATATCATGAATATTGAATATGATTGTATTTATACGACAACTTTAGTGTTATCTTATTATATTGCATTTTAACACTAACAGGCGTTTCAATTTGTAGACCCTGTATAAATGGATGTAATAAGTTTTATTTTCATCAGGTTGATGCTGTCTACAGAGTGGCTCTATTTATCAATACCTCAAGCCCCCCTCTGGAGATCATACAAACTTTATTTCAACCTTTATCCAAGATATTGAAACTGTTGAACCTACCTGAGTTTTGGAATTGAATGATTTTAATTGTGTATGTTAGGTAAAGGTTTATGAAATCAGTTTAAATAATTTAAATTCAATAATTTATAAAGTTTTAAATGTCTAAACTAATCCCATATCACCCTGTTTTCATGCTAGGTTTTCAGATTTTCACAAAGCTTTTAAGGGAGTATTTGATAATTGATTTCACCGTCCTATTATTTCATTCTAAACTTTCTTCGCAATATTTGATTTATTTGTCATTTTTAGCAACAAGGGATCATTTAAAAAATACTTCAGCAACTTTCTGTTAATTTTATACCCCCTTCCCATCAAAGGTAGTAAATCACAATTCAATTACATTGACTCTGTAAGAATCAGTAAATGTAAAATGTGTATAAAATATAATCTGTAAAATTGATGATAAAAAGTCTGGTTAACCACAAAAATCAAAACTTTTAATCATATTATCATGTCATAAATTTAATTGAAAAAACATCAAACGGTAAAACAAAACAACCTCAAAATCAAAAAGCCAAACACACAAAGTTGAAGCTAAGTTTAAGCTAGGTACGCGAAACGACCATCAGTAAAATTACAAATTTAATCCCAGTCCCCATCACTATTTCCATCAGTAGTACTGGCATCTGTATCAGCGCGGGGTTTAGGGGGTGGTATCATGGCAGACACCCTGTCCATAGCCCCAACATTTGAGGATGAGGACGCTGCTTTGGGTGAATTCGAAGGGCCCGCTTTAGCTTTGTCACCGGATATTCCTTTACGACGCCGATTAAGCGAGGCTAGCAGATCAGACATCATGTCTCCGCCACCACCGTCAGATCTAGATTATTGAAGTATTACAAGTTTATTTTGTTAAATTCAAGAGCTGGAAGAGTTCAATTAAAAAGTCACTTTATCAGGACGCATGTACTATCAACTACGGAAAATATTTTATATTGCTCACTCTTTCGTTTTTTTAATCTCCTCTTTCTTGTCCCTCTTTCGCTCCTCGACAGATTTTAGCTTGTTCTTGCTGGCATTTCTAATGGACGACAACAAATCTCCTCTTCCACCTTGAGCATGCGGAGCTGGAGCCCCTTCTGGGGGTTTCACAGCTGGGGGTGGAGGAGGCGGTGGAGGAGGCGGTGGTGCTCGTACTGCTGGTGCTGTGAATAGTTGAATCTTAGAAGTTAGAGGCAAAGAAACCTCGTAATGTTTATTAGATTCATAAATCATAATCTATAATTACAGTGTTTACTGCTAAGAAATTAGATACATGCCTTTTTAAATAAAGCCTATGGACTAAGTTAGTTAGTGAGTAAGAGCAATTTTAAGTTTAATTTGAGGGTGATCACCTACCAGGGGGTGGCGGTGGGGCAGCAGGTGCAGGGGGTGGTGGTCCTGGAACACTAGGTGGTGGTGGTGGCGGCGGCGGTGGTGGAGCTGCATTAGCAGCTGGTGGCGGCCGTGGCGCCGAAGCCACGTTCGGGACATCGACACCAATATCCGGCAAGTCGGGTAAAACATCACCAATATTTGGTAACGAGGGAGCAATTGATCCTATGGTCTGGTCGAAAGAAATGTCTGCTACTCCAGGAAGGTCAGGCAGATACACTGGTATATCAAGTTCTGGTACTTCTCCAAGGTCCGGACTGAAATGTTAGTCGCGTGAAAAACTCTGGGAATGAGCAGAGGGTTAACGAGCAGTTATTCATTCCAAATTGTTTGAAAGTTCTAAAACAACACCATCTTGTGTGAATTTCCGCTAGAATATTCGATATTACACAGCGACCTTTTCTTTTTAAATCCAATGATTGATTAACTCATTTTGTGAGTGAAGTTTATCATCAATATTTATAAAGCATAGCTAGCTAGCTGTGCTATAGCTTTACAACCATTTATAACCATTCAATTCCTTGTAAGATCGAAGTAAGATTATTAAATTTATAAATTTTTTTATTATTTATTATATATTCGTGTAGCGCGATGATACAACTAAAAGAAAGCTTGCGCGTTCCATAATAATTCTCAGTAGACCGTTTTGTGGGAATGGCGCCAAATTTTGCTGTGCACACCCAGCATTGATCGACATCTATTGTTTTTAAATGATTTAATTTACCAGTTAAATCGCCTAAGATATCAGCTACCACACATGTATAGTTTAGTGGCTGACCATGCTTTAGTGCTCCTTCATAATGATGAAATTGCTAGGTAACAGCTTGATCCGTACGAATAGACCACGTTGCACGTGCATGATTGCTTTGTGCATTGTCAATCTAGAAAAAGTTACAGAAATTTTTCTCCTGACCTAAAAAATCTACCTATCTAAAGATGATTCTTTCATTGTTAGACAGACGATCTCGATACGAGATAACCCAAGTGGAGGAAATCAGGATAGAACCTGATTTCATGAGAAGAGCTCCATCGCTGGACTCTTGTTCCGATGAAGTTGATGACCTGCCCGTCAATTTTGACACACACAAGATCGCTGACAACGGTCGAGGTGTGTTTTGGATTGAAGAAATCAACGAGGTTGAAGGCTTAACTTCATTTATTCTTCCTGGGAGTATCGAGGATGACCCGAATGAGATCGATTGGAGTGATTCCTTCAATTACACCGAAGAGACCAAAGTTGAACAGCCCTTCAACTTACTTCCTAACGGAAAGCGAAAGAAAAGTGTTCGGACTAAAGTAAAGAACATGTTTAGGAACAAATCTTACCGTCGACGAGCAGCGTATGCATTCGACAGTAAATCGACATCACTCGGTGATGAGCTTGCTGCATCCTTGGATAAATTGAAGATGTTCATGAAGAACTCTATTGAACGTCTCCGACGATCAGAACCATCGTGGCGTCGTGGACCCTGGACAAACTTTGACGACGTGTTCAGTCATGGAGGCCGAGGGAACAACTTTATTCCTTTCATGAATCTAACTCCTGCCACTCGATGGTAAAGAAGATAACGAGGAATAAAAGATAAGGACTAAAGATCACGGAAATGGACTGAAATGAAAAACGGAACCTGAAACCACTACAAATGTGCTTTTACAACCACATACCGGATTTTACTACTACAATACCGATTTTAAAACTACAAATCGGATTTAAGAAAACCTTTTAAAGACTTAAGCAACCACTTAATATAGATGTCTAAGTCATTTTATTTTAGTCGGCCTTATGCCACAGTGGGGGGAGCAAGATAGAAAAATTACTTGCTCTTCGTGCCAGCCTCGTAGCTCTGCTAGATCGTGTCGTGTGACAGGGTCTAAAAGAACTAGAGGTCCCACTGCCGCGGATCTGATTTGGCTGATGATCCTGGAGAGCGGTCATCTCCATTAATTGTCTTATTAATTAACCAATGACATAATATTAGTATGTCAACCAGTCGCCATTTCATTTCAAAGTATTTTATACTTCAAATCTTATAGAGAACAAATTCTGATTCAGAAGAAACTTTTTAAATCTGAGATCATCACAGTGAAATGTTATCAAAATGATATCGTACTCTTGGTACCAAACTAACCAGTAAGCATATGATTTGGGAACGAGTCTGTTGATCAGCTCACTCCCTCCCAGACTAGCCGGAGCGTCCTCTAACATGTTGCTAGGCTCCAATTCCTCCGCAACACGGCGTCCAGGGGCGTCGAGCGGGTCAAACTTTCTGTGGGATCGATAAGGGTTGGTGCTACTGTTGAAGAGAAGATACGATGAGGCAGCTGTTATCCCCGGGGGTGGGTCTCCCAAACCTGATTCTAATTCTTCTTCCATAGAGTAAGCTCGTAACATTCGGGATTTCTGGGATGGTCGTGCAACTCGGAAGAAGTTCAACTTGTCCTGATGTAAAAATTGTGTTACAAAATTGAAAAAGCACTCAATACAAGGACGTCTGCTTACTTGGCACTGCAGAAAAGAGGCCGTCCGGGGATAAAGTAAGGCAGGTGTCCATAAAATCAAGATTACAATTAAATTTCAGATGATCTCCAAACCTTGATAGCTTTTTGGTCAGCAGGTTTCAATTCCTCGCTGTAACATTTCTCAGTCCGGGCACTCTTCCGGAGAACTGCTGACTCGGGAGTTGATTTAAAGAGTGGTTCATAGGATGTTAGCGTAGTAACAGGGTATTTGGAGCAAGAGAACACCTGTGGGTATTATACATCAGGGTGTTATAATTAGGTAATTTTATAATTGTTGTCGTGTTTGTGGGAATTGCTATACTACGGGAATTAAGAACCGACTTACAAATTTACAAATCAGCGGTCTCAATTTCAGTTACTTATTCAGAATAACTGAAAGAGGCACGGCGCGCGGTATTGTGTACATATTCAGACATCTCATACTTTACGTCATGAATTATTTAAAAGTCTCCTTAGATGGATTTGGAATGAGTCATGTTGTGTTGAAATATAAAAAGGACATTAAATATTTCATGAAAAATTTTGTAGGGCGTCGGCATGTCAAAATGAGTGTAGAACATGTCCCTTATCTATTTCCTCGGTAACATTTACCCCGTAAATTGTCTAGGAAGAAGTTGTAATAATGTGCAAGTGTAGTGTGCAAAATATTTAGAAAATAATTACGAGCAGTGCCAACATAGCAGATTGGGTTGCAATAACCCTTAAGTAACTGCAGGTTTTACTTTTGCAACTTAAATAAAATCTTAACTTTTGTACATTTATTTAACAGTAAAACAGACCTTATCATTGATAAAGGTATTGCTTATACAACAATTATATTACCTGAATTGCTTTCTTGCTTCCCTTCAGCTTGTCCACCTTGGTTTGAGCAAGTTTAACTCTCGTCTCCACATCTTGGAGGGCTTTCCTCTGACCCTCAACTCGGAGGTTAACTCTCCCTGTTGTGTGAAATTCAGGAAATACTGGGTTTAGAAAATATAATGTCATGATATATAAGTCGGCGTTAGCTTATCGAGTTGGAACCTTAGGGGTAAAACAGTGCAGTTTTCGCGCCAAAGGTTTTAAATAAATATATCAGTAAATTTCAAGGAAAAGGTATGAGTTTTAAAATAACTTGATCAACTAAAGCTACAAGATAAAGCTATTCCCCTTCACCCCCTTTCGGAACTAACCGAGAATTTCAGTCGCAACTTTATCAAGTTGACGAAGTGCATCAGCAATCTGGCTAATTGATTCCTCTCTCCGTAACTCTGGCGCTACTATTGGTACTTCACATTGCATTACTAAGAGAACACACTAGAATTAGCCAGCTTGTGTAAATGTGCGTGTCTTTGTGTTTGGTGTATTTTAGTGAGAGCTGTGAGTGTGTTATCTGACTCAAGAGATAGCGAGTAAGATGTCAACATGACTTGAAGATCGGACAGGTTCTGAGAGATAGCACTGAGATGTTACTATCACACATATTTTATTCTGTGGAATGAGCATCACACTAGTGTGAATTAACAAGATCCGTAGGTAGTACCAGGCTAAATATTTACAGCTACAATTGAATACAGAATTCAGAGTACAGAATTTAGAGTATTTTGTTGAAAAGTATAGTATTATAGATTTGTATATTTGATATGCCTATATGCGCATGGAAGTAAAGAGTCAACTTATCAGTGCAGTCTAGGTGTTAGCACGGCACAGTGTCAAATTTCAGAGAATCCGTACATTGTAAAGAATTGGTGTAGTATTGCACTATGTACTGAGCAGCCATAAGTAAGAGAATTTCGTAATTTCCTGTTGCTTCAGCGCTCACTGCTAAGTTAAACAGAGACTAAATTCTAGATCCTAAAACACATGGTGCAAGCTGAAGTCTTGTAACTGGTCACGTGACACTATGTTGACTGTTGAGCAATGAGCAGGGTAGAAGATGTGTTAGATAAAATAAAATCATTCCATCACTTTGATTTAAATTTGATACAATTTGAATTCTTTTGAGGACTTGATTATGAATGCCAATATAGAAACCCCATGACGAGGTATAAGGAATATAATACGATATTTAATAAAATAATCATTTTTTAAATAAGGATTTTAATGAAAATGTACACAGAAAGTGTAACCTAAAACAGTAAAACTGTACAAGGTGTAACCCAAAATGGTGACAAAACTCCCAGATTGAAAATGCCTATTTGAGGAAGATTAACATGGTATTTTTAAGGTAGAAATCCTCAAGTGGCGGCGAAAGTAGTCAAATGTGAAAGGATAAAAACTACTTATTTATAATTTACAAAAGATGTACATATCAAATTTACAAAATTGATTTACAAACATAGAAACATTCAAATCATTGAAAATACACATACAAATCTTATAAAAAAAGGAAAAATACACATTTACCCATCAGAATCTACGAAAAGACATAATCGAATAAAATCTGATATAAATTTTTTAAATGAAAACAAATCTTACCACAAAAAGAATCTGAATTTTTAAGATGAAACATAATTGTCGATGACAGTTGAGAAATCTTCACTGACAGAAATAAGTTCTTGGTATAAAACTGCAGCAGATGTTTTTAGTGAATCATCACCAATATTACTCTGTAACTGATGTATAGCCGCATTTAAACGGGGATGATGCAGCGTTAGATGAACAACATCTGAGAATCTTCCATATCTTTGATTGCTCTTCTTGGAGACACTGTCAAGATGAATAATAAAGTCTTTGTACTGAAGTACAGTTCTATTCACAATACTTACATTGTACATACTATAGTGAGAGTTTAAACTCATCACATCCTCCGCCAACAGTTCTCCTGATTTGATGGATTGTTCCACAAATTCCTTTGCAAGAATGTTGTCACAAGGCTTCTGAGATGAGACGATAATTTGTTTTGAAGATTTGGAACTGACGATATCAATAATTCGAAAATGAATGTGATCCATTCGACAATAGTTATATTCAACATTTATTTCGGACGATGGTTCGCCACCAGTAATTCTTGCCGTGAACCTGAAGTTGTTTCCTAAATCACTGAAGAAAACTTCTTTAAATCGTTGTACACTCATTTCTATGCAACCTTCAGCTATCAAACATTCAGCAAGAACCTCTTTGAAAGAAGAGTTAATGTCAAATGAAAAAGTTCCATTGAGTCCTTTCTCCCAATAATCAATCAGTTGGCTTACTGGAATGAGTTTCTGCTCAAGATCTGGAGTGACTTTGTAAAGTGTTGTACCGAACCTTGTGTAGGTTTTAATGTTACAAAGAATTGAGAAATCGTCAATATCAAGAAAACCTCGGAATCTAGATAACATTGAAGATTTACGGTAAAGAGTGTAGCTACTCGTGCTGTAAGGATCATATTTTAGAAACTTCCTATGAAATCCGGAATGTTTGGAAAGCTTCATGAAAGTAAGAGAATTACTGTCAGTAACAAAATCCAAGAAATCAGTCGACAGACATGGTTGAGTCTGGAGAGAAGGTTAAGAAATTCGACATTCATTTCTGAAATCAGTTCATTTGAGACTTTGATATGCACGCGGAAGTTTCCGTGGTACTTCTTTCTCCACGACAAGGCTTTAAAGAAGCTTATCCGGCCTCGTACCTCACACAGCAACTTATCTAATCGTGCTTGAGACGAACAACCCAGAGTCAGCGTCTGTTCTATTTCATTCAGCTCCACTAATGTCACTTCTGGATCACTGCTCAAAGTTTCCAGATAAGATTCTCCAGAAAACATGTTATACAACTTGTGAGTGCCACAGGCATAAGGAATGCAAAGATATCGGCCAGAAAAGGTCTCTCCTTTGTCACAAAAACGACGCACTGCCAATGTATCGAGATATCTATTAAATAGATTCAATTGTACATGAGCGACACACGTTTTTAGTTCATGTTGAGTTTTTGCCCCAATTTCTAACGGAAAAACCAAGTCCTCTTCGTTGCAATCAAAATCAAGATAGTCAATTCCTGGACGACAGCGAAGTTCGTTCAATTGAATGTAGGTGTTAGTATAAGTAGATCGTACAAAATTGGATGTCACCAGAAATTTATGTATGAAGTTGCTTGTGGTGGACTGCCTTGATTGCCTTCCACGTCGCCAAATTTCTTCGTTGTCAAGAAAGGACGCATTTGTGTTCCACAGTCGTAAGAATTCTAAGATTTCAGCTAATTTATTCGGTTCGACATTATCTATCAAAACTTGATTCAGTTTTCCCTTAGTTATATTCTTTGGATCGACTCCAAAAATTGTGCAAAATCTGTTGTCCTCAAATCGATTCGGCCAAATTGTAATAAATCTATATTTTTCGACAGTTGCAGTAAATTCATTTTGAATTTGATACTCTGTCGACTGCCTTGGATATCTTTCAACAATACTTATCCTGTTCAAACGAGAACAAATGTCATTCTTCACAGAATTTAGGGCGGCATCAGTGCGTGCATTAATAATGACCACAGAACGTTTGTTATCAACAAAAACCCTGATTACATCTTCCATACTCTCTAGCCTCCTCAGGTTAGTCCAACCTGTCCCAATGACAAGTCCTATGTATTGAGCCTTGATCGGTACTTCACAACTGCATATTCCAGAACTATTCCTCCAGGTTCGGAAAACTTCCCCAGTTTCCTCAGCTGACTCCCTATTACTTCCAGGATACATGACAGTGTGTCCTTTCTTCTTGTTTCACAGTGACGAGCTGCATTGTTTTCCTTAGTTTCGTGTATGACACGTCATGTGATTGGTGAGGACAATGTCCCAGCGGAAGATATCTGCTGACATAGCTAAAATATACGTGGGTGAAAACGATGAAAATTCCAATTAATAGATTGTATTTTGTTAGTACAGTCGAACCTCTATATACTGGGCATCTCGATATATCGGGCATCTTCTTTTCCATTGGATGACTAAGTTGATTAGCCTGTTATTGGCCAATTTGGGCAAGACATTTGATTCATCATAGCTCAATTATACATTATATATGTAGCATTTGGTGGTGATTTGAGTACATGTTGAGCTGTATTCCGACACAACACGTTCATGTAAGGCCCCTAATGAGTCATGGGGTATTATATAAGACGCGTGTTATTTGAGAGGCTACAGATACTGGGGATTGGGATCATGTGAACCTCTCTATTCCGGGTTTTTCTATACCGTGAACTTCCCCCCTCCCCCGAGAGGACCCGATGAAACAAATTAAAATGGTAACGCAAGAACAACGCACAGTTTATAAATGAGTAGAAGTTATAATAGCTGCAGTTATTACATTACAAAAAGTTCCAGAATAATCTAATGGCAAAATGATTTTAAAAAACAGAACAAACAAAACGTATATTTCTTTTAAAAGTAAGAAAGTTGTATGTTAGAAAGTTGACTGTTAAAAATAAATCATCGTTCAATCATATTTAAATGTTAAATTACTTGACAATAATATAAAAATCTTCCATGCGAAATGTGCTATATATAATCAATAATAAGAAATATCATGATTTGAAAAGAAATCTAAAATTAATAGCAGTTACTATAGTTGCGGGTTTCTAGAAACATGTATTATATAGTAAAGTCGAGATTAAAAAAATAGTTGTTCAAAAGCTTTCGAAAAGCATGTGATTAATATCCTCGACGCGACTGACTGCAATAGATTCAACTTATACATTTATCCATAATAGCAGACAAATGTTCACTAGCAGAAATAAGCTCTTCATAGAGCAGGACAGCAGATTTTATCAGAAAATCATCACCAATATTACTCTGTAACTGATGTATAGCCGCATTTAAACGGGGATGATGCAGCGTTAGATGAACAACATCTGAGAATCTTCCATATCTTTGATTGCTCTTCTTGGAGACACTGTCAAGATGAATAATAAAGTCTTTGTACTGAAGTACAGTTCTATTCACAATACTAACATTGTACATACTATAGTGAGAGTTTAAACTCATCACATCCTCCGCCAACAGTTCCCCTGATTTTATGGATTGTTCCACAAATTCCTTTGCAAGAATGTTGTCACAAGGCTTCTGAGATGAGACGATAATTTGTTTTGAAGATTTGGAACTGACGATATCAATAATTCGAAAATGTATGTGATCCATTCGACAATAGTTATATTCAACATTTATTTCGGACGATGGTTCGCCACCAGTAATTCTTGCCGTGAACCTGAAGTTGTTTCCTAAATCACTGAAGAAAACTTCTTTAAATCGTTGTACACTCATTTCTATGCAACCTTCAGCTATCAAACATTCAGCAAGAACCTCTTTGAAAGAAGAGTTAATGTCAAATGAAAAAGTTCCATTGAATCCTTTCTCCCAATAATCAATCAGTTGGCTTACTGGAATAAGTTTCTGCTCAAGATCTGGAGTGACTTTGTAAAGTGTTGTACCGAACCTTGTGTAGGTTTTAATGTTACAAAGAATTGAGAAATCGTCAATATCGAGAAAACCTCGGAATCTAGATAACATTGAAGATTTACGGTAACGAGTGTAGCTACTTGTGCAGTAAGGATCATATTGTAGTTCAAACTTCCTATGAAATTCGGAATGTTTAGAAAGCTTCATGAAAGTAAGAGAATTACTGTCAGTAACAAAATCCAAGAAGTCAGTCGACAGACATGGTTGAGTCTGGAGAGAAAGGTTAAGAAATTCGACATTCATTTCTGAAATCAGTTCATCTGAGACTTTGATATGCACGCGAAAGTTCCCGTGGTACTTCTTTCTCCACGACAAGGCTTTAAAGTAGCTTATCCGGCCTCGTACCTCAAACAGCAACTTATCTAATCGTGCTTGAGACGAACAACCCAGAGTAAGCGTCTGTTCTATTTCATTCAGCTCCACTAATGTCACTTCTGGATCACTGCTCAAAGTTTCCAGATAAGATTCTCCAGAAAACATGTTATACAACTTGTGAGTGCCACAGGCATAAGGAATGCAAAGATATCGGCCAGAAAAGGTCTCTCCTTTGTCACAAAAACGACGCACTGCCAATGTATCGAGATATTCATTAAATATCAATTGAAGATGAGCGACACACGTTTCTAGTTTATGTTGAGCTTATGCCCCGATTTCTAACGGAAAAACCAAGTCCTCTTCGTTGCAATCAAAATCAAGATAGTCAATTCCTGGACGACAGCGAAGTTTGTTCAATTGGATGTAGGTGTTAGTAGATCGTACAAAATTGGATGTCACCAGAAATTTATGTATGAAGTTGCTTGTGGTGGACTGCCTTGATTGCCTTCCACGTCGCCAAATTTCTTCGTTGTCAAGAAAGGACGCATTTGTGTTCCACAGTCGTAAGAATTCTAAGATTTCAGCTAATTTATTCGGTTCGACATTATCTATCAAAACTTGATTCAGTTTTCCCTTAGTTATATTCTTTGTATCGACTCCAAAAATTGTGCAAAATCTGTTGTCCTCAAATCGATTCGGCCAAATTGTAATAAATCTATATTTTTCGACAGTTGCAGTAGATTCATTTTGAATTTGATACTCTGTCGACTGCCTTGGATATCTTTCAACAAGACTTATCCTGTTCAAACGAGAACAAATGTCATTCTTCACAGAATCTAGGGCGGCATCAGTGCATGCATTAATAATGACCACAGAACGTTTGTTATCAACAAAAACCCTGATTACATCTTCCATACTCTCTAGCCTCCTCAGGTTAGTCCCACCTGACCCAATGACAAGTCCTATGTATTGAGCCTGGATCGGTACTTCACAACTGCATATTCCAGAACTATTCCTCCAGGTTCGGGAAACTTTTTCAGTTTCTTCAGCTGACTCCCTATTACTTCCAGGATACATGACAGTGTGTCCTTTCTTCTTGTTTCACAGTGACGAGCTGCATTATTTTCCTTAGTTTCGTGTATGACACGTCATGTAATTGGTGAGGACAATGTCCCAGCGGAAGATATCTGCTGACATAGCTAAAATATACGTGGGTGAAAACGATGAAAATTCCAATTAATAGATTGTATTTTGTTAGTACAGTCGAACCTCTATATACTGGGCATCTCGATATATCGGGCATCTTCTTTCCCATTGGATGACTAAGTTGATTAGCCTGTTATTGGCCAATTTGGGCAAGACATTTGATTCATCATAGCTCAATTATACATTATATATGTAGCATTTGGTGGTGATTTGAGTACATGTTGAGCTGTATTCCGACACGAACACGTTCATGTAAGGCCCCTAATGAGTCATGGGGTATTATATAAGACGCATGTTACTTGAGAGGCTACAGATACTGGGGATTGGGATCATGTGAACCTCTCTATTCCGGGTTTTTCTATACCGTGAACTTCCCCCCCCCCCCGAGAGGACCCGATGACACAAATTAAAATGGTAACGCAAGAACAACGCACAGTTTATAAATGAGTAGAAGTTATAATAGCTGCAGTTATTACAAAAAGTTCCAGAATAATCTAATGGCAAAATGATTTTAAAAAACAGAACAAACAAAACGTATATTTCTTTTAAAAGTAAGAAAGTTGTATGTTAGAAAGTTGACTGTTAAAAATAAATCATCGTTCAATCATATTTAAATGTTAAATTACTTGACAATAATATAAAAATCTTCCATGCGAAATGTGCTATATATAATCAATAATAAGAAATATCATGATTTGAAAAGAAATCTAAAATTAATAGCAGTTAAAATAGTTGCGGGTTTCTAGAAACATGTATTATATAGTAAAGTCGAGATTAAAAAAATAGTTGTTCAAAAGCTTTCGAAAAGCATGTGATTAATATCCTCGACGCGACTGACTGCAATAGATTCAACTTATACATTTATCCATAATAGCAGACAAATGTTCACTAGCAGAAATAAGCTCTTCATAGAGCAGGACAGCAGATTTTATCAGAAAATCATCACCAATATTACTCTGTAACTGATGTATAGCCGCATTTAAACGGGGATGATGCAGCGTTAGATGAACAACATCTGAGAATCTTCCATATCTTTGATTGCTCTTCTTGGAGACACTGTCAAGATGAATAATAAAGTCTTTGTACTGAAGTACAGTTCTATTCACAATACTAACATTGTACATACTATAGTGAGAGTTTAAACTCATCACATCCTCCGCCAACAGTTCCCCTGATTTGATGGATTGTTCCACAAATTCCTTTGCAAGAATGTTGCCACAAGGCTTCTGAGATGAGACGATAATTTGTTTTGAAGATTTGGAACTGTCAATATCAATAACTCCGAAATGGCAGTGATCCATTTTACAGTAGTTATATAGTTTAACCTGTTGATCAAGGGATGGTCCAGTAAAATCTATTCTCGCCATATATCGGAGATTATTTCCTAAATCGTTAAAGAAAACTTTTGTGAAGCACTGCCGACTGATTTCTTTGGAATCCTCCGATGATAAATGTTTCATAAACACTGCCTTGAAAGATGAGTTAAGATCGAACGAAAATTCCCCAAAGAAGTCTTCTTCCCAGGAATTAAAAAGTTGGCAAACAGACTTTGAATACCACCTTTTGTACATGGTCATTCGGTATAATGTGAAACCAAATCTTGTAAACGCATTCAGGTTGTGAAGGATTGGCAAGTCTTCAAATGCAAGAAATCTGCGAAATTCCGCGACCATTTCAGATTTAGAGTACTGTAGGTAAGAACTCTTTGGAGGGGTATCTGAATTTAACATACCTTTATTTTTTAGCAAAGGGTCTTGGAGTCTGATAAGTCTAAGCGATTTACAGCTATGATCGACAACATCAGTGAAATCAGCGATATTATAAAGATTCTTATTTTCAGAAAAATCTTGAAATACTGCATCCATTTGTTTTTGTTCATCAGAAATTTTGATGTGACACCAAAAACTAGCGTGATATTTCTTGCGCCAAGCAAATGCTTTATGAAAACTCATGAAGCCTCTAACTTCAAACAGCAGCTGACTTAACCGAGCTTGAGATAAACAGCCTATAGTCAACGTCTGAGTTTTTTCATCGAGCGTTACGAGGATAACTTCTGGTTCACCAAACATCTTTTCCAGATAAGAAACCCTGGAAAATCTATCCTTTTTGATCAATTTGTCCGCAGCACAAGCATAGGGAATACAAGAAATGTAATCTGACCTTTCTATTCCATCAGCAAAAAAACGATGCACTTTTAATGAATCAAGATAGTTATTGAAGTACATCCTAGCTAGCAGGACACCCGAGTTCAGTTCCATCATGGATTTTGCACCAATAGTAAGTTGCATGATTACATCTTCCTCTCCGCAATCAATTTCAACATAGTCTACTCCTGGAAGACACCGAAGCGTGTTTAGTTTATAGTAGCTGCTCCAAGACCGTACATAATTACATGAAACCAGCAACTTTTCAGTGAAGTTGCTTTGAATAATCGGCCTTTTCCTTTTCCACATTTCCTCAACATCCAGGAAAATTACGTTTGCATTCCAGTACTTCAGGAAATGCAGAATTTCCTCTAACTTTTCATCGTCAACATAATCTACCGAAATGATGTTATTTTCTTGAATATAATACTTATGGTCAATCCCAAACAGAGAACAAAATCTCATGACTTCAAAGATACAATCTCGACTCGACCTGAACCTATGGTCGCTGCTATCGGAATTGTCCCTAATTTTGAGTCCGGTCGTGTTTTTGAGATATGTTAATTTGCTCAGAAGATTCATTTTGTCCAACAGCAAGTTAATGTCTTTCTCCACACAATCAAGTGCTTGACTGGTCAGTGCTTTAACATTAACAACACACCGGACATTATCCACCCAAATATCAACAACACCCACCAAACTCTTCAGTCTTCTGATATTTGAACCTTCAACACCGAAGATAAACACCAGTGTGTCCCTCCTTTTAATAGGTATCTCCCGAGTTAGAACATGCTCAACACTAGGTTGTGGATTTGTTGGTTCTAGGTCGCTGTGTCTTCTCCTCTGACTGTCCATTTGAGAGGAGATCCCGCTCTCACATATTTATCAGCTAGTGTTCCATCTCAATCTGCCTGCCATGCTCAAGCCTGGGCTAAAATTGAGTAATTGTGAGCTTGATACATTTAATATAATATTCATGTACAATAAATTGAGTTATTATTAAACAGAGAGACCAGCAAATTTTATCAGGACATGTGATATTGCTAAATCAAACAGTAATTGACAACATCAGAATATTTTCACCATATCCCTGATCTAATGACTTGGCTACAGCTCTGATCTTGAAGTATTTCTTTATCCGGGTTCGGCAAATTAAAAATATAGCCAACGCCCAACACCATAGGTAAGTCACTACTAGTATTAACTATTTGTATTAAAGTATTATGGTGCATTGCTAAATAGCTGAAAACTCGCAGTTAAATAAAATGCCGTCCGGAGAGTTGTTTTTATTTCCACGACCCGATCACATGGTTCCTACAGGGTCAGGGGAGGGAGGGGGGGGGGGGGGGGGGGGGGGTCCTACAGCGCGTCCAGATCACACTATGCTAATCAGATTTGATGTGTGCAAAAAAATAAAATGCATGATGTAGATCAGTGTTTTATTCCTAGATTAGGTTACACATGGACGATAAGAACTTCTCAATCATATGTGCCGCAGCAAGATGATTATAAGGTAATAGGATTATTAAATTATCGTTGTGGTGCAAGTGAATGGTGGTCCTTCTTTTCATTTCTTAACTCGGGTTGACGATGAAGTTGTTTTTGGTACTTGTTTTATTTAGTGGCATATCAGCCCAAAGAGGTACGAAATCTTCCTGCTAACCTGCTTTCTGTGTTTAGTTGAGACAAGTTGTACAAGTTAAAATTATCGTAAATTATCGACTGTAACTCTAGTCTCTATTAGATTATTCTGCAACCGCTAGGAGGCTTATAATGTCGGTTATATGTAAATGCTAACATTATCATTGATTAAAACCTACTAGTAATAAATGGCCTTATATCGCACCACAAAATGACGAAGTAACTTCTTTACTTGTACTCAACAGTTACTGTTTTCAGGTGACCCAGGGCCTCCAGGTTACCCAGGAATGCCAGGTGCGAAAGGCTGGACTGGAGAAATAGGAGAACAAGGAGACCCCGGACAGTGTTCATCTAAAGATTGTTACTCTGACGGACAGCCAAGCAAAGGACAGCCGGGAAATCCAGGAATGAATGGGGCAGACGGTATGAAAGGAGAGACAGGACCACTAGGAGAAAAGGGTGTGCCAGGAAAAGATGGAACACCTGGTATGCCAGGTGAAGATGGTGAAGATGGACCAAAGGGTGAAGAAGGAGAAGAAATGATGGATGGTCTAACTGGAGTAGACGGTTTAAACGCGACGTGCACCGCCGAAAACTGCAAACCCAGCAAGCCAAGTTGTCAAGAGACAAAACCATCACCAAAAATGGGAAATTTGAAATGTCCACCGGGTCAATACATGAGGGGTCTCCGAATGGATAGATCAAAAAAGTACATCATCGATTGCTGCTCACTGTTTTAAAAGGACAATCTAGAAATCCTTCGAAAACGAACGATCGGGTCATAAAAACAGTTAACTTGACATCAATTACAGTGATAAGTGATAACAGTAATGATAATAACAGTTATGATAATTAAGCTTTATGTAAACCTTAAAACATCATTAGCCGATTCTTTCAATACAGATCTTTTGATACAATAACTTTTTTACTATCACAGTTCCATCAACCGGAGATATGTATTAAAACGTTGTTGTGATAACTCTATAATTTCGATATATTATATTCTGTCAAACATGATTCATTTCTCAATCTCCAAAAGAAATACTTTTAATTTTATTTGTATAATGCATATTTCTAAGACAATGGAAAATCCCGGAAAATGTCTTTATGTTTCCCAGTTTTTGAGCTCAACCGCATAGAGCGAGGATTTAGAAAACAGAATGTTTGATCTAAACTACAGGCAACAGGGTAAACTTCTATTTTTGTGGCGACCAAAGTGGGATGATAATACTTTAACTTAAATGGGACGATACTGACGGTATCTTACTTGTACTACGGAAAATAAGGGTCACAAACCCAACAGGGAAAACCTTTCAAAATTTAATTCTGTTTTTTAAAGGTAAAATGTTACCCAGTACAGGGCCCTCTTGAGAGAATGGATGATCTGGAGAAAACAGATTGAGTAAGGTACACCCTTCGTACCTAGAAACGTGTAGTAGTGGCAGCGCTGTCAATAGCACTAAATATGTTATGTAGTCCTGAAATGTTGCTTAATCAAGAAGCGTGAATTCTCGAAATAATGCGTGATTCATGTTGTGTTTATTATTGGACAGCTAAATCTTTTACAAGTTTGATTTTTGAAACATCTAAGTCATTGAACATTCAATTGCATGAATAATGCAAAATCAAACTTCGGCTGCCAGTCAGTGGTTTCTCTCTAAGTGCTAGTTCAAGAAAATAAATGTGACAATCTAATAACTGCGCTTTAGCATGTGTATTGTGAAATTACGAAATCGAATCTTTTCCTTTTACTCCCTCTTTAAGAATTACTTCTATCACCTAGTGCTGAATGTCTGAAATTCCTGATAATCACGTTGGTTGCGACAAAGGAGACACTTGCTCTTGTTTATCACCTCTAAGCTTGACAGATGGTGCTGTAATGAAGTCCCCGACTTGTTAAAATTAACAGATCCACCCTGCTACTCGCTTCAAGTTGAGCTACTTAAAATCACAGGTTGTGCCAGTAAAGCCCAGTAAAGCACTTAGTGACATTTTTAACACACGTCTTGTTTACGACCCATCATGAAGTTTGTACTCGTTTTGTCTGTAGTAGCATGCATTACTGCTACTGTTCTTGGTTTTGAGGAGGAAGGGGACGAGATGGTGTTGTCAAAGGGGTTCTTTGAGATTGTAAATGAGATATACAGCAAACTTAGGCAACTCCGTGAGTACATTTGGAGCTGGTCAACTTATCATGGAATATTTTATCTCTATGATAAGAAGCAACAAGCTGTAATCTGTAATATCGCCCTTACCTAGGATTGTTCATTCGGTCGATTGTGATTTCATTATTTCTAGTGACTAGTCTGGCAATGAACTGTTAACTATACATTTGGTGATTGGTCCGATTTATAGTTTCAACTCATTACCTAATTATCAACTAATTACCTAATTATCAACTAATTACCTAATTATCAACTAATTACCTAATTATCCAGTAATTACCTAATGATCTGACCTGCCCAGGACACGAGGTAGCGTGCGGACAGACAGTCCAGGAGCTGATAGAGTTACTGAACCTGCCGGACACTATGGAGGATGTGGTGATATTCGCTCGGGGCTGGGTTTGCGACAACATCTGGGACTTTTAGTGACTTTTAGTAACTACATACTTGACTCTACAAGTAATTATTAGTGACTATTAATAACTAGCAGTGACTCTTATTTGTTTTGGAGCACAATACAACAACCTTTAATGTCAACAAGGATAATATGTACGAGTTTATTTGCGTTTATAACTGAGTTCAAACAAAATTATGTCTAATTTTAGGTCATAGTTTGTTAGACATATGATTTAGATAAAGTCCATGCCACCTATACTAGGGATTATTCACAATATCAGATGCATCTGAAACATACAGCCTAAAAGTATCGAACCTAATTTCGATAGAGTTATAATACAAGTTGAAGAAAAAACAAAATCATATAAACAGCTAAATTTTTGACAATCAGTGTACAGTATATCGTACAGGTATATCAACGGATAATATCAAAACCAGATGAACAATTACAAAACAAACATAAACAGAATTTATGACAAACGATACCCCATGTTAATTCATCGTTAGAGATCAACTAGTGACTATTGTTTAAAAACAATACATGTATAATCTATATTAAATCTTGCAAAATGCAATCCTTCCGATACTAGCCACCGTAAATTTAATCATAATAATCATAAATAATCATAATAAAGGGTGGCGTTCAATCCAGCTTGAAGTAAAAACCGTAAGAAATAACCGAATAAGTAAGTAAAACGCTAATATTATTAAATGAAATTATGTACTAAGTTCGTAACTGATTGAAATCAGATTAAAAGCCATATTTACGAACATCAACTTAAAGTAAATTAGGTATCTTACAATATTAACATGGAGGTAACCCTGCTGACATAACTATCAAATCACAGCTAAAAGTCAAAAAGTAAGCTTAACCCTAATCATGCGCACACGCCAGGGTAAAACCTAACCCTGATTTATGAGACAGCGGTAAAATCATTGAGCAAGTAATGCGGTTATTTAAACTCAAAGCGGTAAAATCCTCGTACACTACTGAGCTAAGTGGGGCGATTAAGATATTACGTCACACCTCAAGGTATTTATAGCTATTTAAAGGTATTTAACCATGAAGGGAAACATAGGATGGTCCGGTTTAACAGGAATAATTGACGTGTCACGTGTCTACATCTTTTTCGCCCAGATTGGCTTGTTCCCAATTTGAACTGAACAACTCAGGCTAGATACTATCTGAAGTAAACAGAGCTCCAGCTCTAAAGCTCCTATTGGCTGATGGTGAGATTGTTTATGTGGAGGGTGTTGTATCTAATGGGTTCCCCAGGGTCGCTGATGATGGGCTTTCCGGGCGCGAAGTCTGCGTGCATCTGTTCGAAGGTCCGGCAAGGTGCGGAGGTGGCGCTGTGGGTCGCTGTTTCCTTGTGTTTGCGGTGCTTACCTGGGGATCCTGGGTTAGGGTTATCTGTCAATAGTCTGTTGTTAATTGTTGTTAATTGTTGTTAATTGTTGAGCACGTTAACAGTAATATTTCTGTAAACCTTAACGAAATTGGCTGATTAAATATAATATAGATTGACGTTGAATGTATTAGAATAAAATGCACCCTAGTATTATAATTAATGTAAATAGTTGCAAATGCTTACTTTTATGCTCCATGGTGTGAGTGTTAGCCTTCTTTCGTAGTCCGAGCGGAGAACTGACTGCAAAAGTTTTGAAATATTAATTTGACAGATTCATTAAAAAACGGGTAAATATATCCGTGATATAATCTGGACCCAGCTTTCGTATGAAATAATGTTTCTATCCACACTTATATAATAAAGATTCAAATAAATTGAGTGTTATCAATGTCACTAAAATTGTTTTAAATTGTTCAAAAATTATTCTAAACCGGAAATGTAATTTTGGCTGGCCAAGCGTACAATGTACATACATGGATTGTTAATTAAAGTTTTCAATAAGCCCAAACACATGTTACTGGCCAGAGGACTCCATTTTCAAAAACAGTGTTAACTTAAACCTCCAACAAGTTGTTTACGAGCAGAGCTCTTTCTAAAACGATTTGCCTGAAAAACGAAGCAACCCTAGAACTAGCTAACTAGAAAAAGCGAAGGATTGATTTCAGAAATCTTCCATCTTCAGTGAGTAGCTGCTACTCACTGAAGTCTACCAAATGGATGTAAGCTCAAAGCTGGAAATTATGCTGAGCCAAATTCTTTTGTACACGTATTAATTGTAGTACACATGTATTATCTATTTACCTCTGTTCAGGAAGGAATACACTACGTAAACTACTCAATACAAACATCAATGCCAACTACCAACATTCACCTCACAATATCCTATATGTACTGTGTAATCCTGTGTAAATCCAATATCCTATATCATGTTACTTGCTACTATGACGAGTATTATTAACGCAAACAATGTTCATTTCATGGGACGAAATTTACCAAAAACGGAAAACCATTGATTTGTACTTGAAGATATTTACTATCCGGTGGAATTTATAGAAATTAATTTATATTATCCCAGTGAAATGTTAATCCCACTACGATCCATCATTACAACAAAAGAAATCGTTCAGTTATAAAAACATAACATGGAATTGAATTATGCATGATCTACTCACAAGCTCGAAGACCAGTTTTAATTTTTTGAGGTTTGAGACTGTCAGTTTCAATACCAGACGCACTTGAAGCTCGAGATTGGTGAGGAGACAAGGACGACGACTCGTCCTCTTCGTTTCGTCTTGCTATGTGATCCACGTACATATCTTTCTTCCTCTCCAGGGCCTGAACCTGATAAAACACGAGTCACGAGTGTCAGAGAATTCTATGAGATACTACAGAAAATAATACATAAATATCTGAATCTACTCATCTAGCAACATTTGATACATACTCTATATTTGCACTAATGGTAGTATACTCAATATCAAAGCTTGCTTTGCTACATAACAAGAAATGCAGCCGCTTTTCTTTTGAGGATGGCCGCTCAATTTCCCGATCTGTGATTGCGTATTTATCATATAATATTCCATACTACTGTTTATAAGCATGCAGATATGGTGGAGTGACAGGCCCAGCTAATTCCATATCGATTTTGAAAATACCGTATATTTCTATGCAATGTTTATTGTTTATGCAACCCGACACGGATCTGTGCATAATACAGAGGGGGGGGGGGGGGGGGGGGGGTGGGGGTGACCAAAAGTCAGTGTGCAAACGTTGGGTCCTATACCTTCGCCGTGTTTTATATTTGTGAGTTGTTGCTTTGCAGATTGCATACTGTGCCTACTTGTTCGAGGATTCCGTCGACAAAATTTGAAAATTCGAATATTTTAGACCACGCCCATTCAATATTAAAACACCTCTCTAAAGATGCTGGACACCTAATTTTTTCAGAGACGGTAGATTATTAAATGTTGCATCTGATCTGAAAATAATGAGGCAAACGGATTAGAAATGACGAAGTTATCAAGCATTTTGTGTATCTCGTTAGCAAAATTGACTGGGTGATTATGTGACACCGTGCACTACACCTTAATTTGGTAATCCTAATGATTCCCATAGTGTTTAATGGGGTGGTTAACGGGGTCACCTTATCACATGATTAGGTAAGCCAATCACACGTAATGAATAAACTCGTTATGCTTCGCATCTCGGTCATCTGAGAAGCTACAACTCTAATTTTGTCAGGACAAACGTAATTCGAATGGCCCACCCTGTAGTATTAGTAATACTAACTCGAAATACTGTGAAAATATTTTATATTTTCGCCGACCGCCACTTAATTATATCTTCCAACTTCATAAATTAGTGGCTAGTGGGATACATACATGGTTACATTAACGATTTACTTGATCAGTTAAGCGCCGTGCACCAACAAGTTAGCGTTGGCGTTATAATGGATGATAAACTAACATGGTCTAAGCATATAGCAGCTGTTAGATCAAAAATGATGCGGTATGTAGGAATTATGTATAAAATAAAACGTCACCTATCGATTCAAATAAGGCTACAGATATATCAAAGTTTTGTTCAATCGCATTTAAACTTCTGTTCAATTGTATGGGGGTTTGCAGCAAAAAATCACATTGAATCACTCTTCTCACGACAAAAACAGGGTATCAGGGCAGTAATGCCAGGTAACATTAATTACTTTTACAAAGACGGTCGACTGCCAGAACACACAAAACAATTTTTCAATAACAATGGTATACTCACGGTGCACAGTGTTATTGTAAAAAACACACTAATTCTCATGCACCGAATCAAACATTTCCGCAGCTCAGTCCCTCAACAAATCTGTATGACTATCCCAGAAAATGCACCCACTGCAAACTCAGATCACGTGACTGCAGCATCCTGGTTAGCCGAGTACAACACCACACATTTCAGATCTTCGATGTTCTTCAAAGGACCTTTACTCTCAATTTATGCTGTAAATGCAAATGTAAGCACCCTACCCACACTTTTTTCCATAGACCTTATTAAATCGGCTACAAAACGCATGCTCTTGAACCTGCAGAGTGAAAATGACGATGACACGTGGCCCAGTTTCTTATTACATAATATTCCAGGTCTAAGAAGGTCACAACGTGTCTGAAAGTTACTGGACACAACGGTCATTATATCAGTTTAGTGAATTAGTTAATTAGTTAATTAGTTAATTAGTTAATTAGTAAATCAGTTATTAGTCATATGGTTATTATTAAGTACTATATATTATATGATATTACAAAAATAAACTATGAATATATCACCCTACGCGCGTGGGGTGGACTCCTGGGGTGGACTTTTATTCAGCGCGTATTTTGTAGCCTGTTCAACTTGACGTTTTGATTCGTTACTATCTCAATGTCACAGATACACAGAATGTGAGGTGATCATCTTAAAGAGAAACGTCTCAGCTTTCACCTGGTGTAAAGTTTATCTTTGTACTCAAAATATAGCTCGCTCAGTGTGCAAAAGAAGTTGACAATACAATAACCACGTCTGCGACCGGTCGTCAGATACCGGAGTGTTGCACAAAATTGGGTCCCTAAATTAAAATTCTATGACACAGTTACCATGCAGAAATGTCTAGGGAAACATTTGGTGAAAGTTTCAACTCTCTACTATAAAAATAGCGATAGTTATTGAAGATAAACCGTGAGAAACTCCCTCTTGTCGAGATCAACGCTCTATGAACCTCCCTTCTGTACCACGTGACAACGATTTGAGCGTCACGTGGCCGTCACGTGACAAAAGTGCGCGCATCGGATGGAGCAGTCTCGTGGGAAATCCTGATTGCCTGATCGATCTCGTGGGAAATCCTGATTGCTACGGAAAGGGCTGACAACCACAGTTATTTCCCTTCCTCAATTTTCCAGTTCACTTGCTCAGTGCTGTCAGTTGTTTTTTGTTTGCCCTGCTATATAAACTTCACTCCGTCATAATCCCCTACTCCCCTATCCAATGAACTGTTTCTGTTACAGCTGCCATTCTGTTGACTGGACCCTAACTTAGTCTTATCATTTTCACTTGATAACTTTATCCGTGTGCACTTTCTCGAAACTCAACTTATCTTTGTCAAGACTCAGCTAATCTCAGAACTAAATGTTGCCTTAACAGACTTACTTGTCACTGCACTGGGCCCTCCTTTAAATGCAAATATCATATGAGCAGCTGATCGATTTATTGCTTGAACTGTGCATCCTTTTTAAAAATAAATAAGGTCAATTTTACTATCGTGAAACTTAGTCACTGAAGACAACGCAATCTGGCTGTGCCGGTTCCCCTCTGCCTAGATCACTTAGAATATCCATAGTTAGCAATACTTTTATCGTTTAATGCAGCGATATAGCCAGTTATCGATGCTACATAGTAGATTTTAGCCTGTTCCAATCATCCTTATATCGCGTTAATGGAATTTATGAAATTGCCTACCGTTCAAATCGCTCTCTGTTGTTAGCACCACACTGATTAACTACGATGTTCCAATTTTTTAGAATTATGTCCGACATAATTCTAATTTTTGCTGTTACAGCAGATAGTTATGGTGTAATGGCACGCAGGAATAAGTCATCCCTGTCCTCCAAAAAGCCCATGAAAAGGTATTTGGTAAGCTATGTCTTTTCCAATATCAAATCCAATGTATCACAATCTGTGGACTTTCTACTCAAAAACTAGATTGATTAATTGATAATTCATTGCTGATTGTTCACGCGCCCTGTATGGAAGTATATAAATGGTAATCCGCATACTCCAGGAAGAATTGAAGCAATCTCAAAAGAAAAGAAGGGAATCTGGATCCTTCGTCGGATCGTCAAAGAGCTTAGAGGGGAGCTCTACGCTTCACTGGCCATGCAAAGCAGGGAGACTGACGGAGGCGGAGGCACTGCTGGCTGCTGGAACGGACATTAACAAGCTGGACAGAACGCAGTTTAACCCTTTCATGGACGCGATCAACTCAGGTAAATCATTCGACCGCCTTAACAATATGGGTTTATTGGTAATAGTAGCAAGAGGTTTTAGTCATGTGTTTGATTACAGCACAGTGTGAAACCCTGAAGCATACGTCGAGCTCTAAACTCTGTTTTGTCTAATAATCAATTATTTGAATATTGAAGGATTAAATTTGGTAACTTGATGATCACACAATTAACAGGACAGGTCGACTGTGCTAGATGGCTGCTGAGGCAAGACGGTTTAAAGCTTCAGACCGAGATATGGTCGTTTTGTAGGGAGAGGGTGCTAGAGTCATTGCTAACAGCTTAACAGAAGGTAAAATCCTGAACTTTTGTTCATTGATTAAAAATCACCATTCAGACATACAATCGTTCAGATGTAAAAATTATTTATTCACTATTTTGGATTACATTTAGTTACAGGACTAACATGCGACATCCGTCGTTGACCTTTGTCTTTAATTCAACAAGGTAGGGAGAGCGATCCATGGCTGTCCCGATAGACCCACTCAGACTCCTGCCGGAAGATACTCCTCCGGTTGATCCAGATGAGACAGTTCTAGCAGATGATCAGTTACAGACTGAAGAACATATCCCACAGATCAATGCGTCAACATCTGCAAATGAAGGTACTTCAATCTGCTCTTCTTGTATATGTCTTTGTGCCTGCGTCTGTGATTGTACTGAAGTGTACTCTGTGTGTTTGTGTCTGTGTCTGTCTTTGTATCGTGTGTGTGTCTCTGATTGTACTGCGTGTGTCTGTAATTGTAATGTAGTGCACTGAAGTGAACTATGTGTGTTTATGTGTGTGTGTCTGTGTGTGTCTGTGTGTGTCTGTGTGTACTGTGTCTGTCTGTGTGTCCGTCTGTGTCTGTGTGTGTCTGTGTTTATGCCTGTGTCTGTGTGTCTATGTCTGTATGTGTTTGTGGGTGTGTGTCTGTGTGTCCTTGTCTGTGTGTATCTGTGTCTGTCTGTGTGTCTGTCTGTGTGTCCGTCTGTGTCTGTGTTTATGCCTGTATGCCTGTATGTCTGTGTCTCTGTGTGTGTGTGCCTATGTCTGTATGTGTTTGTGGGTGTGTGTATCTGTCTGTGTGTGTGTGTGTGTGTGTGAGTGTGTGTGTGTGTGTGTGTGTGTGTGTGTGTGTGTGTGTGTGTTCTTTCATAGAAGTTGTTATTTCCAAGATACGAAGTTCGAAAAGCTAGCATTTAGTAATAGACGAATTTTGCAGCTGATATCAGAATCGACATGATGATGGTACTACACGAGATGCTCATGGAAAAGGTCTCCGTTTGCTTTCCTCCTCCCACGAGCAGTACAAAGTGTGGGTTCAACTTTAATCTGATAGAAGATATCGTATGCGGAACCCAAGCCCGGCCATGTCTGTACATAATAACGAAAGAAACCGGTAAGTTTCTAATCATGTAAATGTTCGGCCGAACGTTTGCATTCATTTTAGACTAGTGACGAAAATCAACAATCGTTTGCCAGTTTGGTTTGCAAAATCGACAAAAAATAGTCCATTCCCCATGGCCATGATATTAGAATTCTGCCCGTTGAAATCGGCCACTCTGATTTTTATCATTGAACTTCACATTGATGACATGTTCATTCTCTACAGGTTATGCTGCGAGGGCGTTTACCTCGATAGATGTTGAAAATGCCCACAGCATTATAAATCATTTGGACCGCCGAGGGGTCCAAAACTCCTCAATCGAAGAGCTTAGTAGACATGCCAGCAACCTACAGAGACTTCAAATTCTCAGGAAACCTCTCTAGGACGGTAATACATTAACTTGTTTAGTTAATAAATTTAATAAGTAGATTTTGAGTGATGATTACTGAATACAGATATCGAGCCTCGAGGTACCATAAAAAGGGTATATAAACTTATCACTTATGCTTATATGCTTATACTATCAATGAATATCAAATCGCCTTCTCTAGTTATCAAACCCAACATAAGTTAAATCTCTGCCTACAAGGACTATTTGATATTTACAACAGACCGAGTGAATGTCTCAATCTTTTCAGGAAGCTTTATACTCCGACATCCACAATTTACCACGCCCCTGAGATCGACAAAGGTCTTTCTGATAGATTGACTTCCAGCCAATTCGATCTATCGAAGCCGAGTGGGAAGAACAAAGAACTGAAACCCCATGGTCGCAACGATGCTCCTCGCGGACAAGGGAGAGTTAGGGCCATCGGTGGTCACAAGACTGGATAATATTTATTTTTTAAGCGTTGAGGTTGTCACGAAAGCGTACTGTAACGGGACTATCAGATTTGAGTGATTTGATTTTGTGATTTGCAGTTCACGTGATTTTATTGTGATTTTAGACTGTAAAAACTATAAAGGTTCAAGTTGAACTATCGTCGCCATGATTATGTATTTTGGAACTGTTCACGTTGAAATTGCTTCGTTAATCAGCAGTCTTCCTTGGTTACTTTCTACTGTGTAATGCAGCTACGATCAACGATACTTAGCTAGTACATTCATAGTAACACTAACTGCACTGAGAAGAGTAAAAAATTTGAGCTTTGACGGAATAACATTTCCTTGTTTTTAGATACGGTTACTACTCTAGTGAGGGGTTCATAGCTGATCATTAAGGTCTTACTCACAATAATTTGTGCTCTGATATTGGCCGTACTGACGGCTGTTGAAAAAGCCACTCCGTCAGATGCGCGCCGCAAGAGTCCACCCCTGTAGACCCCACTACGTACAAAATTTGAAATTTTCCCAAAAACTTCTGATTAAGCTAGTTTGTTTTCAATAACTTTTGCAATATTTACAGTAGACCCTTCAAATTTTCACCAAATGTTACTCCAGACATTTCTGCATGGTAACTGTGTCATAGAATTTTAATTTAGGGACCCAATTTTGTGCAACACTCCGGTATCTGACGACCGGTCGCAGACGTGGTTATTGTATTGTCAACTTCTATTGCACACTGAGCGAGCTATATTTTGAGTACAAAGATAAACTTTACACCAGGTGAAAGCTGAGACGTTTCTCTTTAAGATGATCACCTCACATTCTGTGTATCTGTGACATTGAGATAGTAACGAATCAAAACGTCAAGTTGAACAGGCTACAAAATACGCGCTGAATAAAAGTCCACCCCATGAGTCCACCCCACGCGCGTAGGGTGTATATATTTGCACACAAAAAAACTAGAACAAACTGATCACAGACTAGCGGCAACTAATATTAATGGATAAGCCACACATCCTAAATTCCAGGTCCATATTTACACTGCCACATTCCCCACTATCACTATTTTCCTATCAGCACAAACCGTAATTAATTGATTTCAACAATCACAAACACTACATATCCAAACTAATGGCATGGCATAGCAATATCTACGATATCCTAAATCAGTCCCTAACAAACTTAGCGCGAGTCTGAAAGGCTGTTGGAAGCACAGAGTGCTCCATATTTTGTTTTATCAATAAACTTTTTTTTTTCGTTTTCTTTTTTTTTTTTTTTTTTTTTTAATAAATTTATTAACTGCGTGCAAATTTGTGTTTCAGATTTGATCTATTTATGATATATATTTATGATTATGTAATAAAGTTATTAATATTATATTCGTAAACATTGGCTGGCTTACAAACCAGTCCCCAAACAACAATAATTTGATTCAGAATATCGCGCAAAATAACTTTGCGCATATAAGAACGTGGGCAACAACTGTGTGGGCGTTATGAACGACGGGTGATGGACACAAGCTACCATATACAAAAAAAACCTCGTTTGCTAACCCTTGTCCTTGACTCTTTTGTGCCTTCGGCACTTGAGTCATGGATCGGGGAAAAATCACTGACCTGTTCATGCATGCGATCAACTTGTGCCCTCAAATAACTATAGCTGGACCGCTGTAGGGAGTTGATCCAAGCTGTACAGGACTCTTCATCATCCGCACACAGATTGTAGGTCCGAGATCCCTCGCACTGGAAGGTTATGGAAAAAGTTTTATTGTCAGTGGAGCATGAGTTTATCGAGCAGCCCTCTAGGACGATGAGACCAATTGGTTCTGTGTCGTGGGGGTTGTGGTAGTAGAACAACATGTTCCCTTTCAGCATGAACCATCTCCTCTGCCAACCTTTGTTCACCTGAAAACGTGTAAGTTTTAAAACTGTGGTTTTAGTGCTTTTGTAAAATTTTGAAAGTCTCAGATAAAAACTGAATTTTAGATACAAAAATACGACTCAATCAATATTGAAAGTTTCATTTGAAAAACTGGAGTAATAGAACTCACCTCTCCTTTCTTTAGTAAGTATCCTCTTTTATCAACATGTGTATCATTGTTAAGAAAATTCAATATATTTTTGATATTTAGTTTCATCATGTGCTCCCCAAACATCAGTCCTTCTCATCAATTCCTCATAGAGAATCCTATTGTAGCTCATATCATGAAACCATTCTGAAATTATATATTACAAGGATTTTACAAAAAAGGAAAGGGGTTCTGAACAAGGACACTATTGAGCTACTTGAGACAGAATATGGTCTATAAAATGTAACTGTGAAAAGCACACGATTCTAGGGAGTTTGGAACCACATTGGAACCACATTGAAGCTAGTTCTGTTGAAAAAACAAAATGTTTTTATAATGTAAACTTTTAAAGTTAAGGGGGCCTTCATCAAAATTAAGGGGGTCTTCATCAAAATTATCTCGAAATTGATTTTATAGTTGATTCTGATAGATGGGAGTGATATCAACCAGCTGCTTTTGGTCCCATGGAAAAATATTGTTCCTAGCCGAAATTATCTCCGGTCTAAGGTTAGCGCTTATGTGTAATTGTATTGCGCAAGTGATTTTCAATCGCAAGTTCTGAAAATTGAGCTTTCCATGACCCAAATTTCACTTTTTTAACTTAATTTCTCTAGAATGATCATCTAGCAAGGTCACTGAGGATGGCACAAGACACAATTGAGGTACTGAAAGCTAAATATCTGGTACAACTTTGATGGAAGAAAATCATGAAAATGTCCTACTGGTGGGACATTTTCCGATATCAACTTTCCTAGACCCAAATTTTACTGTTTTGAAAGAATTTTCTTCAATAACCGAATAAAGAGTTCACTTTCGATGTCAAGATTAAGGTACTGAAAGCTGGATTACGGAAGAAAGCTCCGATAAAAAAACAGAAAATCGGAGAGATTTGATAATATAACTTGACTGATATTTTATGATATATGTTTTATATTTCGGTTTGATTTTATAAGATGGTCATATCTTAATATTATTATAATCCCTAGGGAGGGATGGCTTACGACGTTTATGATATGTCACTGCTCAAGAGTTTTCTCACGACTAAAGACTCTCTAAAGGAATAAGAACGACTTAGAAGGGACTTGATACAAATATGAGACAATTGTGATATTAATGTGTATTATGAACAATTTGATAAACATTTCATTCAATAAGTGTATTTCAATAGATCCAAGAAATGAGACTCAATTAAACTCTATATAACATAGTAGCAGGAAGTTTTTGAATCGTTATTGATTGTTATGCTCAGTATTTGTGTCAAGAGCTAGGATTGGTTGTAAGTTTTCTAATAATATTTCAGTTGGGGAACCAAGTATTGATTTGGAATTTTGGTCGTGTTGTGAAAATCAATCCTAGCAGAGCGAAGATGATACTGAGAGATGAAGCCAGAGAAAAGTAGCCAGAGAAAAGTTGGGAGTAATTGGGAAGTCTTTACCTGTAAGTGACGACAGAAAGTCACCGTGTCAGGAAGGTGATCACAGAGGAACCCCGATGTTGGAAGCAGAGGAGGAATGTGATACGAGTTCAGAGAATTCTGATGAAGACAAAGACCCCATTGATAGGGGAACTAATGAGGTTCCAGGCCCTAATGAGAGTGAGTTGGGAAGCCATCCTAAAGAGGTACAGAATGATCCTCGTGAGGCACAGAGCTATACTCAAGTTTTTGAGGGAGAGGAGACAGATTTTTCCACAGAAGTTGAAAAGCAAAGTCGGCCTCAAGAGTTAGAGAAACCTGAGACTGAAAATCAGAGTCAGAATCAGGAGGAACAGGGAGAAAATATTGGAAATCAGAGCCAATCTCCTGTTGAGAGTAGTGTTGAAATTAGTGTTGAAACTCAAATAAAGTCGGGACAGCTGACAGAAAAAGATACTGTCTATTTGACCAGGACAGTAGACGCAGAAGTACAGAAAGCAAAGACCGCTGAACTGGATAGATTCAAAGAGTATTCAGTTTATCTAGAAGTGAAAGACAGAGGTCAGTTTGCAGTGTCAACCAAATGGGTGGTGACACAGAAAGGAAACAAGACTAAAGCTAGGTTAGTAGCTCGTGGGTTTGAAGAGATGAAGAGTAATGTGACAGACTCACCCACAGCAGCAGCAGCCAGTAAGAGGATCATGTTGATGTTGACAGCTTCACATGGTTGGAAACTGGAAGCTTTAGACATTGCAGCAGCATTTCTTCAAGCAGATGCAATGATGAGAGATGTTTTAGTGAGACCACCAAGTGATATAAGGAAAAGTGGAGTTTTATGGCAGCTGAATAAGCCTATGTATGGACTAGAAGACTCCTCAAGACAGTGGTATTTGACGCTGAAACAAACGTTGCTAGACTTAAATTGTACTATGTCTAAGCTAGACAAATCCTTGTTTATGTTTTATGAAGAAAACAAGTTCCAAGGAGTATTAGTGACTCATGTTGATGACATAATATTTGGGGGTACTACCAAATTTAAAAACAACGTGATTGCGAAACTTGCTGATAAGTTCAAGATCAGTAGAATGGTAGCTGGGATATTTGAGTATCTTGGCTGGAACATTGAACAATCCACAGATCACATTACAGTGGATCAGAGAAGCTATGCTGAGGAGATCAAAAGAGTGGAGTTGCAAAGTCTGAGGAAGAACCAGCTGGATGATCTACTGGACAAGAATGAAGTTACCCTTTACCAGAAACTTCTTGGAAAGCTTCTTTGGCTTTCTTGTCAGACAAGACCTGATCTTACCTTTGATACTATGGAGCATAGTATGTACAACAAGAAACCAACAGTTCGCAATTTGATGTCACTTAATAAGGTTGTGAAGAAGATTCCAGATGGACCCAAGAACATTAGATTCAACAAGTTGGATATCAAGAAAGGAGGTTTGAAGATAGTGTTTTATGCTGATGCAAGCTTGGGGAATCTTGGAAAAGATAAGACAGACTCAGGAAGAGGATATGTGATATTCTTAACTGATGATCATGGAATTTGTGGTGTTGTTGATTGGTCTGCTAACAAGATCAAGAGGAAAGTGCAATCAGTTCTAGGAGCTGAAACGTTAGCATTCCAGGATGCACTCAGTGCAGCTATCTATATTAGAGCAATACTGAGTGAAGTTATTTTCGGAGACAGTGAATCTCAAGTTATCAGTCTTGGAGTTTCTGACAGCAGGCAGCTGGTAGATAGCATTAATTCCACAAAACAGTGCACAGAACAGAGACTGAGGATGAACATGGCTGTGATTCAGGAAGCTTTAGTGAAAGAAGGACTGCAGATGATGTGGACTGAGACTAAACTACAGCTGGCAGACAGCTTAACCAAAGGAACTGCAGATCCCCGGAATCTTTGTTTAGCCGTAGAGACTGGTAGTATTAGTGAATTTGTTTTCTAAGATCTTGTAAGATTAGTATTGAATTTTTTAAAGACTGTGATAGATTGATTTAATTGATAAATTTGTGCGATAAATTTGCCATGAAACTTGATATTTCGTGAATATTTTGTATTTTGGACTCTATAATGTTCTATTTTGAAACAAGATGGGCGTATGATTTAGAGGATTATATTTGTTTTACGGGAAGTGAAGCTCGAGTATACTATGAGAATTTTGTGCCAGAATGAGATTTGACACATGATCTATAAACTTGTGTTTATTGAGATGTTTTATTATTTTAAGGGACTGTATCCCAAGTTTAAATGAATATAACATGTTATTTGATATTATTGAGACACGGAATCATTTATATTTTTGTACTGTGTTGCATTTTAGCAATGATTTTGATTGTAAAGTGGGTAAATGAGCGTTTTTAGTGCAAAAACATCTTTTAGTACTAGCACGCATTTTAATTTGAGATGGGAAGTAATTTGGTTTCAACAGTTTCTGCGCATTATTTTACAGGCGCGCACGACCTTACAATTATTTGTGTTTTAGACCACTTTCATTTTTTACTGATATCAGATTTTGTTTACGTCAAATTTTCAAATTTCATTACCGTCATTATCCATCCAGGTGTTTTACTTTTAAAAGAGAAAAGGGGGAGTGTTGATTTGATAATATAACTTGACTGATATTTTATGATATATGTTTTATATTTCGGTTTGATTTTATAAGATGGTCATATCTTAATATTATTATAATCCCTAGGGAGGGATGGCTTACGACGTTTATGATATGTCACTGCCAGTGGCGTAACGAAAGGCCCTGCTGACCCCGCTGTGCAGGGGGGCGCCAAATCGTCGTTTGAATGTGGGACAATTTCGAAAACTTAACTAAAGTACTAGCAAAACTGCGCGTTTTGCTCTAGATACACACTTTTTTAGAGATTTTACCGGCGTATTCTCTAAAATCACCTAATTTGTTCAATTTTAGGGAGAGGCAAAGTCCAAAAGGGGAGGGGGTGCCAACAGGGGGGCGCTTTTTTCGGCAGGGGGGCGCCAACAGGCAACGTTACGCCACTGGTCACTGCTCAAGAGTTTTCTCACGACTAAAGACTCTCTAAAGGAATAAGAACGACTTAGAAGGGACTTGATACAAATATGAGACAATTGTGATATTAATGTGTATTATGAACAATTTGATAAACATTTCATTCAATAAGTGTATTTCAATAGATCCAAGAAATGAGGCTCAATTAAACTCTATATAACATGGAGACATTTTCAAAGATTTTTAGGAAAACAAGTTTTAGGAAAACAAGTTTTAAATTTGTTTAATAGTGAAGGGTTTTCTGCTGTTCCCTTGACTGCAATTTAACAGTTTCGACCAGTGACCAATCAGTGAGTTCAGTGTGATTGACACAAGTCAACATAGAGGTACTGAATACTGAATATCTGAAACTTTGTTGAAAGGAAAATCCGGACCATCGTGAATCGAATCAGGGGTCACAATACATTCATTCAGATAGTTCTGATGATTCTGGGGTATCGATCAGACAATGCCTGTGCAGTGACAGCTTTTACTATTATACATAATAATAATAATAATACACACAGTCTCTACGCCTTTATCCTCTGGTCCCTAGGGTCAGCTGACTCCGGGCCAGAGGAAAATTACCGATTGCCAAGGTTTGATGCCTAGGCAGTCGAGACCTCTTATTGAGACCCGATATAATAATAATAATTCTATACAGTTACATAATTGAAACAATTATGGCCCCTTATTGTGGGCAGAGTATGTGTCTTTGTTTAAGTGTCCTGGTATAAACTTATCTGAGTGAATAAAAAATAATTTAAGGAGAGTTCTCTTAAAACTTTAAAACAATTTATACATGGGATCTGGTTTGCCAAATATACTTACACCAAGACGTGACAGTTGACATACCTTATTAGTTATTACAGTTCCCTTTTCGGCCAGCGTGCACAAAAGGGATATGCAAAGTGTAGCAAAAAGTGGCAGCGTATTCAAAATTTAAATAACCTGACAGGAAGGGAGTTCTGGAAAGGATTAACATCAGGGATATAATAATAATTTTGTTGTCATTGCGTCATATAATAATATAATGATAATAATATAATATAAATACAGTTTGGTCTGTCGTTTGAAAAAAACTTACATCATACATGTATGTCATTTAATTGAGCAATTGGTATTATACGGTGCATTAAATGGTGTATTAAACGAAATCCGTGTACTAAACGAAATTAACCGCACAGGTGGTTTTATGATTTGTTGATTAAATTGTATTTACACACATTATACGTTTATTTAAAATATTATAAAATGTACAACATTACATAGAAAACCCGTAGTCAAAGATAAAACCCGTAGTCGAAGAGAAAACCCGCCTGGTAAAACACCAGTCACAAAAATGTTTATTAATTGTAAATTAAATTAACCAGGCGCGCCTATTCCTATAGGCGCGGCGTTCTTTTCGAGCTTCTTACACAGGTGAAGGGAATCAAGCAAGACACTAGCAAACTAAATAAGTAATGTATCATGTTGTGACCCCCATTGATGTTTTACTAAGTCATAAGTATATATACATTGCTAAATGGAACTAGAAAAGTCCTATCCCTCGTAGCCTTGAACAGAATCAATTACCACGTTGAAATGTACACTGGACCTTGGCAGGCGGCATACAAGCAGGGTCGCAGTTGTGCTGACCTGGTATAGTCTCAGAGAATGTTGACATCAGTGGTTACCAGGCGCGAGTTTGAGTATAGTAAAATCAACATTGACATGACCGCTGCGTTTAATACTATCCGCAGACAGACCATCATCAACGACCTCATTGATGCAGGATGCTCTAGAGACGACATTCGCCTAGTTCAGTACCTCCTCTCAAATACAAAGCTCAAGATGACGGTCAACAGATCTGAGTCTGGTGAATTTGTGATTAATATTGGCGCTTACCAGGGAGACAGTCTGGCAGGTAAAGTGTTTACATTGACCCTTGCCGGTGCCCTGAATCACATCAGAGCCGTGATCAGTGTCACGATTCCTAGACCGAACCCCCCAGTCTCTGATAGAGGCCTCCCGTTAGAGTCCGCCTATGCTGACGATGCTAAGCTTCTGAGTGAAGATGGTCAGAGCCTGGTGAAGATACTAGAGATTGCCAGTGATATACTAAAGGATTGGAGTCTCTTTGTTAACGAATCAAAGACGGTGTTTACAAGAGTGTATTTGGCAGATACAGATGCTTTAGATGCCCATGGCAATAAAATTAGAGGAGATGAAGAGTGGCGAGAGTCAGTGCTATTAGGATCAAAGCTCTGCTCAGAAAGAGATATTGTCAACAGACGCAACAAAGCCAATGTTGCCTTCTACACCTACAAGAAAGTCTGGTTGAATAGTTCTATTCAGATCAGTGAGAGTAGAACGCTGAAGCTGTACGAAGCTCTTGTCACTTCAGTGTTGTTGTATAACTGTAGCAGCTGGGCTGTTCCTGAAACCGTAATGGCATCTGTCGACGTTCTTCAAAGGAAGCATCTGAGACAGATAATCAACACCTATTGGCCTACGGTTATCAGTAACGAGAATTGATATAAAAGATGTAATGTCAGACCCCTTACTGAAAGGATCAAGAAAGCAAGATGGAAGATGCTTGGGCACGTTCTCAGAAGCGGTGATGACACTCCCGCCTTCTTATCTTTCAGATTTGCATGTTTTGACTACAAAGGAAGGAGGGGCAGACCTCGTTCAAATTTATTTGATTTATTATTAAAAGACATAATGACAAAACAAATTATTGTGATTGTAAATAAAAGATTTAGTTAATTAAGTAATTTCAACGATTTAGTGTACAAAGCTCATGATAGACGTCTTTGGAGAAGTTATGGGTGAGTCGAGACTACTCGGCCACTCGATTTTATGATTTAATTTCTATTATCTTGTGCTTGCTGTAAATAGTCGATTAATTTAATAATATAAGTATATATAAAGCCATGTGTATACGCGTACTGCTTCGGCGGTCGCGCGCTACTGCAAGCGAGAGGGCTCTGGTTAGAGCAATGGCGCGGCGAGAGCCACGAAACACAAAACAACCGCGCACTCGTGCGCGGCGTGTCTACTATACAACGTGTGACAACGCAATGGACAAAGTAAGTTGTAAGTGTGCGCATGCCGCACAAGTCCACTAAATAAATTTATTTCATTAACTTGGCTTGCAGTTTTCAGTTTAATGATAATAGTTGCTTGTCTATGGTCTAGCTTATCTCACTGATTAGAATTAGAAGATTAAATAAAAGTGACAAGCGAAGAAAAAATACGCTTGCAGATGATATGCAAGATGCAATTTTACGAGAGCTTTATCACTGATATATTTGCTCTATCTAGAGCCCTTGAAGTGGCGCGCGCCCGCCTCCCGGCGGTAAAAAGAACTTTTCTTAACTTGTGAAACAAGCTTGTAGGTTTATGACCTACCAGGACGCGCGCCGAGTTGGACTCGTCGAACAAATATTTTACGAGTATCCAGTATCACCTGTTAAAAACAAGCGCGCCCACAGTGGCGCTCGAAGCCGAAAGCACATGGTTGATGGTTAGGTGAACTGCTTTATCAGTATTATATGTCATATGTTCAATGTCATAGCGCGTGCTCGGATCCACCATGATAAAAATACGTTAACGGGTGATACTCGTAAAATATTTGCTTCGGAGTATCGCATTCGGCATTACTGATGGGCGGCGGTCTCAAATAAAGACCGTCGACGAGTCCAACTCGGCCCGCCTCCTGGTAGGTTATAAACCTACAAAAAATACGTAACAGGTTTCATGTCATTAGTAGCGCGATGCACTACTGGGCCGCGCATCAAATAATTCTTCTCGCAACCACGGCTCTTACTAAATCGCTCGCCCAAAATTTCTCGTGACTTTGGTTTTTTTGGTTTTGCAGCCGTACAAAACGGTTTTACATAAACCCTAATCCCAACCCTAACCCTAACCATTACCCCGAAGCTATCCATAATCTTAACCACAACCCTATCCCTAAATAATCGAATTCACGTTTTACTAGCCTGTCACGTGACCAAAACGGTTTTTGCCCATAACTGCCCAGGGAAGCATTTTAACCCTACTATACGTCATGGGGGGTGATTCGGAATCAGCGTCCGAAAATACACCGATCTAGATCAATTCCATGCCTAAAGGGCCTTTTCACAAGAATTTTCTTAAAATTTGGGCGAGCGATTTAGTAGGAGCGCGCAACCACAGATCGGCGAGATGCACCACTGGGCCTTACCTCACCGAGCTGTGAAGGATTGACATCGTGAATCAAGTAATAATGGGTGCAGGGTGATATTCGTAAAATATTTGTTTCAAGACCGTCGACGAGTTCAACTCGGTGCGCGTCTTAGTAGGTTATAAACCCACAAAAATACATATATATTTAGCTAGCAAGGTTTCCTGTTTACTCCTTATATTACCTGTGTTGCATTACATTTGTAGGTTTATAACCAACCAAGACGCGCACCGAGTTGGACTCGTCGACGGTCTTTATTTGAGACCGCCGCCTATACTAGTAATATAGTACTATACTAGTAATGCGGTACTCCGAAGCAAAAAGTATAAAATCAAAACAATTTATTGAGGATTAAATGATAAAACAGAACAAAATTCAAATACATTTTAATTGTGCATTACTTATATAGTCAGAACCAAATCATCTGAAGAAAACATTCTAATAACACACGACAGTTACAAGATACAGGGGTCTGGTGCTTTATGTTATATAATTCACTTGCTTTTAATTAATAAAATATTTAACCGGTCAATCCAGTCATCTTATGCGTTATGGAAAATCGTGAAAAACGAATCCTGCAGCAATAAGTTACTATGAAAACTAAATACAACTCAAACAGAATTCATAATCTCGCTCGTGATAGTTCACTTTACCGGTCATCGTCAATCCCACCTTATTTGCGACCAACAATTCGTAGATACCACTTATTGGACAGTGTACAGCTAGTGGACTGCTTCTGCTTCATTTCAGACTCATGTTACACACTCGCAAATCCTCTGACAATTCTGAAAAGAGAAATAAAATAATTTCAGACGTTCAGATTGTTTACCAAGGGAAGATGATGAAACAGGATCCCCAGCCCGAGCTATGCTGTATGCAAAATAAAATTTAACATTATATAAATGTATACACGTGTTTTGAACGTATGGGGCCCATGAAAAATAACTTTGCTCGTACATGAGATGCTAGTGTATTACATCAAATAATTTGTCAACTCTGAGCCACATTTTTAGTCAGGTTTTGACAGACAGTTTCTAGAATTTGAGACTAAGATAAGCAAGATCAGATCGGGCTGGGGCGCAGATGCCTGTTACTATTAAAGGTTTCAAACATCCAGGACTCTATTATCTAACCCAGCCCGAAACAATAAGACTGACTCCCACTACCCAGTTGCAGAAGAATTCCAACCATCTGCACTTAGCAGAGTGTGACGACAGCTCACATCTCACTAGCAAGTGGTGGGTTATGTCAATCATACTTTCGCACAAGATACAAGAAAGTGTAACGTGAATGGTGCTAAGATTTGGTCTATCTGTTTATATTGTTCTATTAACAACTTTTTAAAATAACAGCTCAGATGTGGAAAGAGCTGGTAGGCTTTGATGTTGCAAGTCCAAAGTCTCCAGACATTTGATGCCGCTATTTCATTGCGTTCAATTAATCGAGAAATATGAAAATTCACGTACGTCCGCAAAGCGGCATCTGCAGAAACTAGAAACTCTATAAGAACGGTTTCGCGCGTTACGCAAAACAGGAAATTTACAGATTTACAGATGTTGAACAGCGGCGAGTTTAACAGCGGTGGGTTTAACATAGGCCAGCTTCACGAACGATCATAATTTGTCTACAAACTGTCATCAAATGACAAGAGCGCTTTGGTGAATGACCACACAGACTGTATCTCGTTGCAGGGGACACTTAATTAGTGAAAGCGGGGGAAATGGAGCCGGTGAAATGAAATTGAGAATGGAACTGGTCACTGGTGCACACTAAATTGTTGTGCACAAATTTTGACAACAAACCGTTAAAATATCCGTACAAGATGGTGTGATAAATGGTAATTTATCAATTAACTAACAGGACGTACCTGTATAACATAAACAATATGGACTAAGTTGAACTCCGGCTAAAACGGTTTGGCGGCATCTTTTGGTTTCTTAAGTTGGACCTTCAGTCTTTTGCTGCCGATCTTGAAGCCGTTCATCGCTTGTATAGCGAGCTGTGCGCTCTGTGGGTTATCGAAACTCACGAATCCTGAGAGAAATATTTTCATCATCATTCCACATTTTTTGTGATTAAATTCGTTATGGAATCACAATCAGTAATTCTGAGTCAGGTGGCTAGTTAAATGTTCCATGTGTTACAGCGGCTTATTCAAATACGACCGATTGTCCACCGAATTATCGTATCGGCCAACTCAATTGAATAGCACAAAATAAGCTATAACGGTTTGTAAAATCTAAAGAGAAAAGTATTTATCGCAAGGACTCAAGTAACTTGGTGAAGTTGAATGAGAATTACAGTGGAAATCATTCACACATAAATGTGTAATTATTGACGAATATGGTTCGCTTGTTGATAACTTACCAAAACATTTGGACTGATTGGTAGCTTTGTCTATGAATATTTTACAGGACAGTATCGTTCCAAATGTGTTAAACATTTCAGAAAGGTCATGATCTCGCAACTCTGAAATAAATACCTTGTTACATATTATTATTATTATTAACAATCTCCCTTAGAAAGTCTGAGAATCATCCAGATCTTTCACCAATAAGATAATTCTGAAAAAAATCCACAGTTCTGTAGTATTTTACACTCGAGAAAATAAAAAACATTTAAGTTCAGTGCTGACCCGATGGAATGTGATATATAAACAAATTAGCCCCGTCAGGGCCCTCAGACTGTTTGTTTGTCTGGGGTGGAGTGCTGCCGTTGTTGTTATTGTTATTGTAGGACATAGGAGGGTAGGGTGCAGGGGCGGAGGTTGACGTTTGTAAGAACGAACTCTGCATCATATCTTTGTTGAGATTGAATCTGAGGAACATGTCAGGTTATTTCCAATATGATATTATCATTGCGGCAGTGAAAAACCAGGTAAGTGCTTTGTAAAGCTTCGCTTTCTGAGAAAGAATAATTGCACTAAACCATCTCCATCTCCATAATATAACAGGTGTTAAATACAATATAATATAGTATTACAGGTGTTAAATGCAATATAATGTAGCGAGTGAAAACTACTCAGTTATGATCAACCCACTCAAGATAGCGAAAATGAAAAAATACAAAAGTATAATATCTTCATTATATAATACTGACTGTGCGGGGGGAAGCTGTGACTGTTGCTGGGGAGTTTGTTGTAAACTCTGGTCAGGGTTGGTGGCCGGTGACACGGTTGCGTTCAGTAGATTAGCGATATCTGTTAGTGCGCGACTGTTCCCAGATGAGTTGTTGCAGTTCGCCAACGCTTGCAGCGCTGCTATCAGCGCGTTCACCAGCGCTTTGTTTGCTGAAAAAGGGAAAGTTGTAAGCTTTTTCACATAATAAGCTGAATTACACTAAGATATGGTGGAGAACCTGCTGATTTTCAAGATATTTGTTGCTACAATTTGTCTTATCGGCCAGACACCGAGAATTGGGCACTCAATTTACAGAATGAGAATCAGAAAAAACACATATCTTGGTTGCACTGAGCTGGTATTGTTCAGGATAAGAAAAGGGGGGGCCCTAAGAAAACACGCTTATTATATTGCTATGTTCAGCATTATCCTGGGAAAAAATGGGCTCGTATTTCATCGCAGCACATATATTGAACTACTCAGATTTTGTGTTCATTCGGCTGACTATAAAACTATGTCCTATGATAGGTTTATTATAAATAATTCTAAAGATATTCTAAGGAATTTTATCCAACAAAACACGGACCGTATTGTGTTGGGATAGTGACAGTAATTTGTGGAATGATAGATAATTATGGTAGCGATTAAACAGCTGACATTCCTCCGTTAATAGAGCCGTGTGTGACAGGGGGTGACAAATACACATCACCCTGACTATTCCCACACACCCCCGGATAATAGAGGGGCACTGGGCACGGGGTTATTAGAATGTCTGGGGAACCGGGGTGTCAGAAAAATTAGGCAATACGGTTCGATATTACGGCCTTGACACGCCATGTCATTGTGCGGCGGAATGTCGTGGTGTCGGCTCGTTAAACTAATAGTACAAGTAATAGATGGTGTAGCTTATGTTAGAGAATGGTGCATGCTAAGGGTTAGTCGGCTTAGCAACCCACCACACCACCAACCACAACAATGGAAACCGATTCGCCTGAAATAATTAACAATGGACAGAATATATTTTGTAGTATCCACTGAGCCCTGAGATGATACCGCTACGGGTATGAGGTAAGCGTTTTCAACGAATCTGAATCACCCTTGAGCTGAGTGGCACTCATTTGGGAAACCATTTATCCGATTACAATTTTGTGTTAATCAAAAAATGGAAACGCCAATTTCCGGTTTACCGCGGTTTAGAATGCGGTTTTCCTTTCCCGAAATCAGACAATAGTTAGATGGTCAAGCAATTTTCCGGCCATTTTTGAGTAAAATCGACAATTAAATAGCAAATGTATTTCGAATTTAATTTCAAAAGTTATAGATTTATACTGACCTGCACATTATAAACTTGGAGAATCATGAAGATTCAAAGTATGTCAGTTTAATAATGACATGGAACTGTAATATAAGCTTATCAACTTGTAAAGCACCAATAATGCCAAAGGTTGGTTATTTTTGGCTTATTTTGTTAAAACTTCACACAAAATGTACGTCATGTTATCATTATCGTAACAAGGCGCTCATAAATCACAGCTGTCATTGATTTTTAGATACACACGGCATAATGATTCAAACTTAAAAGCTGCCAGTGACCACACACGTATTATACACATATTCAATACACGCATAACATAAACGCATAATGAAAGCTTCTAAACACAGATTATCTCCACTAAAATCCTGAGTTCGCACCGCGTGCCTTTCCAATCAGTCGTTTACGACTAATCACTCCGCCCAAATTACGAGGAAACTGCAGGAGAACTGGATCAAAATTAACGGGATTCCGAACAAGGACTGGTTAAATCCCCAGCCATTTCCTGCTTTCTTGCCGTCCTAATTTCCAGGTAATCTCTCCTTCATTACCTACAGACGACCAGGGATCAGAGGCTCATTAGAAGGTCGATCTGGAGCAAGTACAGTCACGTGACAAGATATGTGTCACGTGATGTGAGATCACTAAACCTCCTCAGTTTAACCTAACCTATGGGATAATCCGCCGAGTCTGGCTAATCGGTGTGGTGTGTGCTGGTGAGCGTATTATACTGTGTAACATTGTGTGGTAGTCTTGTACTGGGTGTAGGAGAAGATGAGCGTGTATTTATACAGATGTGCCCTTTTTATTATATACTTGTAAACTTGTATCTGGTTTATGATACGATGCGAGGGTATATATACTCCGTATATGTATATATTATATATAATACAGAGTAGGACAATGAGTTCATCCATTTCTATCTTGAGATGCTCAGAATAACTTACAAAACCCCAGATCTGCCAATCATCAAGCTGCATGATTCCGACGAAAGACCAGGATCTCTAAAACACACTTTCAGCAGAAATCCCCAGATTTGAAGTGAGGAACCCTCTCCTGAGTGTCGTCGCCAATAACGATGACAAATTCTGAATTACAGGAGCATTGTCTTGGCATTGCATCTCACAAACATACCTCAATTTCAAAACGCGGGGGTGACTCCAAAATTAATACTCCAAGAGACAACAACCTCAAAGACAAATTCCCTCCTAGGTGTGTCATTAAGGTGGCCCCCGCTCTGACATTACGACTCAGGACGTGACCTGTATTATTCCTACTACTACAGGTAACCAACAGCTGATCACCATAAAGCCACCTCTTGTCACACACTGAATTACCGCTGATTCACATGATGGTCTTCACCTCTACTTTTAATTAGATATAAAGTGTTATAATGTGATCATTCAGGCGGGACTCAACTAATCATTGATTTCTTATATATAATATATCACTTCAGACTTCGGGAATTATTAGTTTATTAATATTATGTAGAATGTGCTAGAATGTTATGTATCAAATTAAGGTACGTGCTCGATGTGCATCAGATCGATGCAATAAAATATTCAGCGACCGTATCATTACTCATCAAAGAAACATATCGCAAGGATTATTAATTAAAAGAAGATTTATGGCATAACTTCAGGATGTATATTTTTCTTTTAAAAGTTTTTCAAGCGTAAAGTGGCTTCTTTATTTCCTACACCTAGGTTTAGACCGGTTGCCATCCTTTTCTCATCAAGCAGCCAAATAATCGAAGGATTGGATGCATAGGAGCTGGATCAGAGGCACCATCTAGTTGCGGCGATTGCGGAATCAATTAATTAGCCGCATATTTTCGGTATTTTTATACAGTGTAACAGAAAAGTTGTGTAATTCGGGATCTTCCGCCGCACCTAAATGGTGCCTCTGATCGGGATCTGATCACTTCTACACTGACCCTGAAGTTTCCAGCCGACCCTTTAATCCAGGCAAATACCGCTGATCAAAAAAGAAGATGCTATCAGAAATTCAGCCGTTTAATAGTTTTTCAGCAACAGTACAGATAGACCAACAAAATGTGGTGTAAGTTCATCAGCCTACATACATCCAATCAATACGTGTAGGAATTTCCAATGAAGCTATGTACCGGATGTATTAGTATTGTAACGTTTAACAAAAAAACTCTAGATAATATGGCTTTATACTCGTCAGCTGAAGACGAAACCTGTTTAAGAGTAGCCAACTTGTGTTTCACGGCGAGACCATCTCAGCTGTTCATCAATCTCAGGTATTTGTTGAAACGTCAACTGAGCACTGGCACAATATCAACATTTCTCCGCTCCATAACTTTTGGACAATGACATGGAGCACTTGGTCCTTCGGAGTAAATCTCACATCCACACTATTGTGCTTGAACATGTAACAAGGGTACACCGACTAGTAGGCTGTACATCTACTTAATGGTACACAATGTACCGTTTATATACCCAACATCGCACCTAGGGTACCTAATGTATTCCAGTGCAGTGTTTATATACCCAACATCGCACCTAAGGTACCTAATGTATTCCAGTGCAGTGTTTATTATACCCAACATCGCACCTAAGGTACCTAATGTATTCCAGTGCAGTGCTTATTATACCCAACATCGCACCTAAGGTACCTAATGTATTCCAGTGCAGTGTTTATTAAACCCAACATCGCACCTAAGGTACCTAATGTATTCCAGTGCAGTGTTTATTATACCCAACATCGCACCTAAGGTACCTAATGTATTCCAGTGCAGTGTTTATTATACCCAACATTGCACCTAAGGTACCTAGTGTTTATTATACCCAACATTGCACCTAAGGTACCTAATGTATTCCAGTGCTGAGTGCAGTGTTTGTTATACCCAACATTGAACCGCTATAGCAGTACAACACGTACCATGACATCATATCCACCCGTACTCTCTCCAATAATCAGCTGCTACCCAGGACAGGGCACCAACAGGAAACAGAACCCTCTCCCATTGGCTAACACAGCCCACGTGACTGGCACGGAGCGCTGTGATTGGTCAGTCTAACTGTCATGTGTGAGAGCAGTGGTGTATATAATTGGAGGTAGGGACAGGAAGCAATTAACAGTGAGAGATTGCAGTATTAGCTGCAGAAATAGGGAGAGAGAGAGAAAGAGAGAGAGAGAGAGAGAGAGAGAGAGAGAGAGAGAGAGAGAGAGAGAGAGAGAGAGAGAGAGAGAGAGAGAGAGAGAGAGAGAGAGAGAGAGAGAGAGAGAGAGAGAGAGAGAGAGAGAGAGAGAGAGAGAGAGAGAGAGAGAGAGAGAGAGAGAGAGAGAGAGCGAGAGGTAGGAAGGTAAGGCACGTAGAGATAGAAAGAGAGTTGTATCTACCAATGTGGTCAGAGTGTTCAGTTCATAACGGAACTACTGTAGTACAGAGGAATCTGTACGTAGGCAGCCAGGAGACAGTTTATATACATGCTTATTCCTCTGGCCTATTGTAGGAGTAGAGGAGAGCACTTTCTCTTGATCCCTGCATAATAATATATAGCTGGCAGTCTAGTGCTCCAGGTTAATACAGAGTAAATTAGGGAGAAATGGGCGGTCTCTAAACCTACAATTTAGATAGCATTTTGGTAGACTTCTTAACCACAGTATCCGGGAGACAAACCCTGTGTGATAGCTGTGCATTGTGCCTCGGCAAAAACATTTCCTCACAGTGTTACAGTGTAATCTATCACGGAATCTTCTTGACAGTATTACCTTGATTAAGTAGCCTATCCACTACATACTACAATGAGACTAGTAAGTGAATTTTTACCAAGTTTTCCATTATTCTGTACCAGAAAAAAAAAAACACTATAAACCGCAGCGGAAACT